CCCTGCTGTGCCTGAAAGCACAATTTGGAATTTAATCCACAGACAGTTGTTGCTGCAGTGCGGTTGGTTTTAATTACTTGAAACAAACAAAACCAAAGAAACAGAATAAAACCCACAAACAAAAAAACCCACCAAGGACTGGTTTTCCACAGTTTGTAACATATGCAGCCATGGTCAATGCCAGTGTTCTTGTGGAAAATAAAGTGAGTACTGATGAATTTCACAAACCTACATGCAGAGCAGCGAGGCGCATCAGTAAGACTGATGGGAATCAGTGGGAACTTTCTGTTTGGCTGGGAATGGGCAGTAGCACATGACAGTGCAATCCATCTGCCTGGGTGTTCCCATTCGGGGCAGGGAAAGCCTCACAGTATCACAGTATCACAGTATGTTAGAGATTGGAAGGGACCTCAAAAGATCATCTAGTCCAATCCCCCTGCCGGAGCAGGAACACCTAGATAAGGTTACACAGGAACGTGTCCAGGCGGGTTTTGAATGTCTCCAGAGAAGGAGACTCCACAACCTCCCTGGGCAGCCTGTTCCAGTGTTCCGTCACCCTCACTGAGAAGAAGTTTCTTCTCAAGTTTAAGTGGAACCTCTTGTGTTCCAGTTTGTACCCATTGCCCCTTGTCCTATCATTGTTTGCCACTGAGAAGAGCCTGGCTCCATCCTCGTGACACTCCCCTTTTTTATATACACTAATAAGGTCACCCCTCAATCTCCTCTTCTCCAAACTATAGAGACCCAGCTCCCTCAGTCTTTCCTCATAAGGGAGATGCTCCACTCCCTTAATCATCTTAGTTGCCCTGCACTGGACTCTCTCCAGCAGGTCCCTGTCCTTCTTAAACTGAGGGGCCCAGAACTGGACACAATATTCCAGATGAGGTCTCACCAGGGCTGAGTAGAGGGGAAGGAGGACCTCTCTCGACCTACTAACCACCCCCCTTCTAATACACCCCAGGATGCCATTGGCCTTCTTGGCCACAAGGGCACAGTGTCGGCTCATGGTCACCCTGTCGTCCACTAGGACCCCCAGGTCCCTCTCCCCTACACTGCTCTCTAACAGGTCGTTCCCCAACCTATACTGGAACCTGGGGTTGTTCCTGCCCAGATGCAGGACTCTACACTTTCCCTTGTTATATTTCATCAAGTTATTCCCCGCCCAACTCTCCAGCCTGTCCAGGTCTCACTGGATGGCAGCACAGCCTTCTGGCGTGTCGGCCACTCCTCCCAGCTTAGTGTCATCAGCAAACTTGCTGATAGTACACTCAATTCCCTCATCTAAATCACTGATGAATATATTAAATAATACTGGTCCCAGTACCGACCCTTGAGGCACTCCACTAGATACAGGCCTCCAACTAGACTCCGCCCCATAGACTACAACTCTCTGGCTTCTCTCCTTCAGCCAGTTCACAGTCCACCTCACTACCCGATCATCCAGACCACACTTCCTCAATTTAGCTGTGAGGATGCTGTGGGAGACTGTGTCAAACGCTTTGCTGAAGTCAAGGTAGACCACCTCCTGCCTGCCTTACCCCACCCCCCCCTCCTCCCCGGGCCCCTTGGCCACAGAAACAGGTTCAACTCTTTCGGTAGGGTCAGGAACATGGGCTTTATTTTATTGTCCTGCTGTGATCAAGTGGAGGCCCCATTCATATGACTCTGTCATTCCTTTTCCCACTTCTTGACCCTCCTTTCTGCCATTCTTGTACCTCACTTTCTCTGCCTCAAGTCCCCTTGAATAAACAACCTGCCCTCAATTACTTTTTCTGTGATGGTCCAACTTTTACTAGATCCATACTCACACTTGGTATTTATAATGACAACACTAACAATAGCAACAATAATAATGTTAATATGGCATAATAATTGGTATTGTTGTTATGATTATTATTCCCTTAGAGGACATTATGGATATGGTTACCTCAGAAGCACCTCCCGAGTACTCCCCTGTGGTTGCATGTAATGTCCAAATTCCCTCTTAAGGCCCTGTGAAACACGGGCACCCCTTTCAGCACTGTCTGTGGCTTTTGTCAGCTCCTCACACTCCCTTATCTGCCTCATCCAGCAATTTCTCATGCCCAGTAGACCACATGTCGGTCTGTTGGTGTGACCTAGTGGCAAGGCCGAGTCAATGGCTTAGTGATTTTACCCAAAAATGGAATAGAGACAGCCTGTGTGAGATGGTGGGGTGGCCAGTTAAGGATTACTGATGGTTTTGCTGGCATATAACTGTGGCTCAGTGCTCACAGCTGTGTGTATGGGAGCTGTGGGGGGACAGGCCTCCTGTCTAAAATGGATCAACTTGCTAAAGGTGGGAGTGAATGACCCAGAAATATTGTAAGCCAAACACAAAGATGGAATGCAAAACTGGTTAGGAATGACTCGTAAAGAATATAGTGCTATTTAGGAAGTGTCAAATCTAGAAGCCTGTCCCCAGCATAAACTCTGCTGTTTTCAGGCTTCATTACTGGTAATATCTTTGTATTTATCTTCATTGGGTGGGGTCTTTTAATTATTTACCATTTCAAAGAGCAAGTGTAACTGCACCTCTTGCTAAATTATCAACAAAACATCAAATGGTTTGGGTTTAAAGGGTCTTTTAAAGGTGATGTAGTACAACCCCCTGCAATGAGCCTGGGTTTGGTGGCTGCCTGCAGGTCAGGCTGGCTAGAGGGCTAGCTGCTCCTTGTTCCTCATCAGGGTAACATCTAATACCTGTGCCATGGCATTAGACAGCCATTTCAGCAGAGCAAGAGCTGCACCTTCTAGCCATCACCCAGCACCAAACATACTGTTTTTAGCAAAAACCTGTCTCTTAAGAGATTGAAACTGATGCACTGTTTATTCGTCAGCAGCAGCCTTCCAGTACCTAAAGGGAGCTGAGAAGAAAGCTGGAGAGGGGCTTTTGACAAGGGTCTGTAGTGGCAGAACAAAGGCCAATGGCTTTAAACTGAAAAAAGGGAGATTTCATTAAGGCAGTAGGAAGAAGTTTTCCCCTGTGAGAGTGGTGAGGCCCTGGCACGGGTCGCCCAGCAAAGCTGTGGCTGCCCCATCCCTGGCAGTGTTCAAGGCCAGGTTGGACGGGGCTTGAAGCAACCTGGTCTTGTGGAAGGTGTCCCTGCCCATGGCAGGGGCTTGGAACTGGATGAGATTTAAGGTTCCAGCCCAAAACCATCCTATGATTTTTATGAAATTTAACTCTTCAAAAGTATTCTGATTCCCTTATTGAAACTTTTTTTGGCCTTTTACTGTTGCAGTCTTGGGGGAGAAGACTGTGTATATGTATGGAATTAAAATACACATGTACATAACTGTAATGTGGAATAAGGGGTGGGGAGTTTCTTGATGATAACTGGAGCATTTGATCTCAAAAAATGGGAATCTTGTGGTGTGGGTTTGTCTTTTCATTAAAGATTTTTGCTGCACTCTAGTGGCTATTGAATCAAAGTGCTGTACAGTGCCAGCTACTGCTCAGGGAAAGCTGAGTGGAGGTTATTAATTCTATCTGGCCTCAGGAAGGTTCAACCACCTTTTATACATTTTATGTTAATGGTCTCCATTTTGCATGGAGAACTAGCAGTAGCAAGATAAAGTGGACGTAGCAATATAAAGCCACCTCTGCTAGGAAGAACAGGCAAAGGCAAGTGTGTCAGGAAGCCTTGGAGAGGTGAGGCTGGTATCACTCACCCCTTGGGAAATGATGTGTTGAAATGGCTGAAGGAGAATTTTGTTGTCTTGTGGCCATGGCCAGACCTTGCTCTTGTAGTGACTGAGGCCTGTTGGGATAGGGTGAAGGAGATGCATTGTAAAATGTTGGAGTTTTTACATTTTTACTGTTACTAATTGCCCAGATATAGTGACGTTGGATATGAACCATAGATCAAGCCTGAGACTAAGACTAGATCCAGCTGTACCTATGCTCTGTTTAGAAAGCAAGGGGGTCCAATCTGAATCTTGTGCCTCAACAGCCATGTCTCTCTCATCCTTTTCACCTTCAAGCCCTGTACTTCCAATTGCTTTTCCAATGCCACTGGACAAAAACCATTGATCTGAGACCAAGACAAGATCCAGTTGAACCTAGGCTCAACTGTCAGGAGTTTAGAAAGCTAGGTGGGGGTCTAGTCTAAACCTCATGACTCACTGGGAAGGTGCTTATGCTTTTTGTGTTCTATCTCTCTAATTCCTTTTCCATTTCCATTTGACATAAACTGTCGATCAAGTCTGAGACTAAGAAGATAATGGAGGCTCTGGTAGCAAGGCTGGCTTATAGAGCTTTATATTCAGGTTAAAAGAAAAAAGCTAGTTAATAGATCTTTATAAACCTCTTCAGTTTTGTAAATAGATTGTGGTTGCTGTATACTTGTGTACAGAAATAAAGCCTTTGCTCAAGGTGAAAAGGAACAGTGAGGTAGTACCTGAGTTGTTGTTGCCACTTTTAACAGGCCCTGAAAAGCACAAGGTTTGTCCCTAGGTTTAAGAACTTGGGTATTCTTAAGAAACCTCCAACTAATGTGACTCCATAAAAGATGTAGGTGGAGTGAGCATGTGAGAGTAAGTAGCAGAAGGGGGAGACTGGGGTAATGTGAGCTATTACATTAGCCACAGTGCTGCAGTGATTGTGCAGACTGGATAAGCTTCAACTGGCAAAAAAAAAGAGACTTTTCTGTGCATTAAAAGATGTTACATGTGGCAGATTTAAGATGTGTCAGAATTCCACCATGCCCTTTTCTTCCTTGTCCTTCCTCTGGTTGAGAAACTAAGCGACTGTAATGAACTGTCTGCACCATGTTTGAGATAACAAGGCAAGATACATGCTTTTTAATTGCTGTTACTGGTTTTTCAAAGGGTGTCTGACTGTTGCAAAGATGGACACAGCCGTTGGTGCTGAATAGCAGAAACAAATATACAGAGGAACTGTAACAGTGATAATTTGGGTAAGGTATCCAAATGGGAGCTGTTGTTTCTGCTGTGCTGGCAGTAAAGAGAGCGAGGCATTCTACATTGAACACTTGTATATGTTTATTTAGTTAAATCAGCCATTGTACACATTGCAGCTATGTATTGTTCGTGTTGTATTTTTCTTTTAATTTTTAACTAATACATGCCCTCATAGATATATTCAATTAGTGTTATCACCATGGGAACAAGATGCTGATTTCTCAACTTAAAATTCACTTCTTCTCACAGTATTCAAGTTCTCTGATTAACACAGCAAAATATCAAAATAAGAGGTGAATAACCATTATGTTGTTACACAGAACATCATCTGCACCGCAAAGAACACAAAGAAATGCATTTCTTTAGAGCCCCGTCCTTGAAGACCATCCTGTGCTATCTCGGTCAGAAAGGAAGCCGTGATACGGTGGGGAATGTTTCATCAGGGGTCTCTGTTGGTTTGGCTGCCGAAACGTTTTATTGTATTAATTTAGCTTTCCTCCTATGTGGCACCTTGGGCAGGTTGGCCTGCAGGGAGCAAGAACTCCTGAGAGATACGGGGCTTCCAGCATTGTGACTGTCAAGGAAGTGCCCTTGATCTGAGCACTGAGTGAGTCATTAAAGAACCAAAGGACCATGTAACAGTAGACGGTCAGATAGGCTTGGAAAAAGCATTACTCTCAGAGGAAAGGGTATCTTATACTGGGGTCTTGTGTATACTAATAAACTCAATCAGCTGTTTAAAAATGGTCAGTTTAGGTATATGTATGTGCAGTACACATGCTACAACACTCCAGAGCTCCCTCTGTTGCATATGAAGGTGCAGAACACCCACAATGTTGGAATTCTACTTTCCCTTTTAGGAAAAGTGTGGGCATGCTGTCGTGGTTGTCAGTCGGTTAGTTTAGAAATATATATATCCTATGTAGAGATGGAAAACAATATAGGAACAGAAAATAGCTTATGGACTGTGAGCACTTCCTTGTTAAAAAACTCCACATTAGAAGGTAAAAACTGCTCGCTCAGTGCTAAGAGGGCTGACAAGCTGACGGGATTACGGGTGGGTCTGGGCTTGCCCTTCTGATGCCACATGCATGTGTTGGATAAGAGGCAATCTCAATAAAACACAGAAACTGAATTACTCTCTTGGTGCAGTAGGTAGGTCTGTCGCCTGTAGGTATCTACAGTGCAGCGGCCAGCAGGAAGTACCACCAATGAGGTGGTGTGGTTGGCAAAGCAGTGCTGAGAACGGGAAACTACAGCAGTTGGGATTATTAAATACACCCTGACACATGTCCAGATCTAAAAGAGGTTAATCCCTTACACAAGTGTGCCATAGAGATAGCTGTTAGTGAGTTGGTTACCTAAGTGAGTGTTTCGGTTTGTTTTCTTTTTCCTTTTTTTTCCTCTTTCTGGTAATGTCTAAGTGGCTTTCCAAAACTCTTGGAAGTATGAATGGCCACAGTCAGCTGTTGCTTTGGGGGAACAGCTGAACTTCCAGGTTTTGAGCTTGGCTTTCAGAGCCTTCACTAGACTGTCCCTAAAGTGGAAATCTTGCAGATGCAGTAGATCTGCAGTGCTTCCTTCTCAGCAAATCTGTGTTTGCCATCGATCATGTTAATGTTTGTGTTGTGAATCATTCATGGGCAGCATCAACAGAGCTTGTAACCTATGATGCTACTCGCAGTGGTCGGCAGTGTGCTTTCTGCACTCCAAGTGCTGTCACTATATACAGGGAGTTTACATGTTAGCTGCTGTGGTGATTATGCATGTACATAGTTTGTTCAAGAGGCCTGTGCGTGAAGTCCTTTCACGGACACAAACATCCTTTCAAGAAGGCAACACAGAAGCAGCAGGAAGTGGTGATGTGAACAAACTCCCAGCACAGCACAGCAAGGATGGTTCAGTGGAAAATGATCCTGGATGAGGAATGCTCTTTGGTCACAACTCATCTTACAGTGTACCAAAAAACTGAACAAAATGCTGAAATGAAAAATGGGGTAAGGAAAAAAAAAAAAAAAAGAAGTCTCTGCATCAAGAAACAAGCAGATGTAACTCTGTCTTCTGGTAGTGATGTAGGTTGTGATGTGTGCATATAATGATGCTGAATGCTATGTAAAGGGCTGGAGGACTGGGTTGTGGCAGCTTCTCGGTTGTCCTATTTGCAGTCCTCTCTGCAGAGGTGCCTGAGAAGCTGCTGGAGGTGTTGTTGGAGATCATCCTGTGGTAGTGCTTCTGGTGTGTCTTCCAGCTCTTCTATGTGCACATGTTGGCCATCCTGATCCTTCATCACAGTCCTCTTGTGCATGCTGGACTTAGTGAGTGTTGTCCTTAAGCATGGAATAAAGGAGACAAGTGTGAGAGGAAGGAAAGGAAGGGAGGAAGGAGTGCACACCACCACATCCCCCCACTATGTAATAGAAGACTGAGTGGGAAAGGAAAGACAGACAGAGGATGAAGTGCAGAGTAGGCCAAGACAAATTGAGCAGGGGTCATAGGACACAAAGGCTGAAGGGGGTCCCACTGGTGCATCAGCCAGCCCCTGGCTGCCCTTCTGCCTTGCCATTGGTCTGCTGGTGTAAGTGGTTGCACTTCAGACACACCCATCAATCCAGTTATTAGTTATGTGTTTGTTAATCCTGTTCTAGGAAGACTTCATTGACATGCCACACCATGCCAAGCCAAACCTTTTAATCACTGATCCATCCTCTTTCAGGATTTCTTTCTCTACCAAACTGGGGAGCTGGACTTTCATTTGGTTACCTGCATAGCTCAAAGCCTCAAACAAAAACATAAATCTCACATTAAAACACAACCCAAAAGCCTAGAACAGAAGCTATATTGCTCTTCCTAATGTATCTTCTAACATACAGCACTCATCTGCAGTAGTGCAGCTGAATGCTGAAAAAATGATGAACAAATAAACATTAGGAGCACATGCCTGCCATTTGCATCCTTTCAAATATCCCTTAAGCGTACTGATCAGACCAGAGATTCTTGTCTAAGCTAGTTTCATTTTACTAGTATTTGTACCAAGGCATCTCAGTACTTTCTGCTGCAAAGTCGCCCTACTCTATGCCATGCTGTGCCATGCTCACAGCACTCATCCTTTCTCTCTGTTGGTGATGACAGCTACTACAGTCACCTTTTTACTATCACAGTACATACTGTCTCATGTATAGCCCTTCCTTCTACCACCTCAAGCTGCTAGCTTGCAGCACTGGCAGTACAGATGTGGGTTTATGTGGAAATGATGGATGATGCTCCGGAGTCTTGAATCTACCAGAATGAAAGAGGCAGGGCATGCAGCCACACCAGTTTTCCACAGAGAGTCTCCTTTTCCTAGAAATACAGTACATAGAAACCAGCCTAACAGAAAAAAAAAAAAAAAAAAAATCTATTTTCCTTTCTTCTGGAGGTGAGTTCATCTCTACTACCTTACACATTATTCAAAGGGACAACAAAATGAATATAGAGCAAAGCACTACCAGTTCCTTGTAGAAAATGCTACCTTCATTCCATACCCCTTTTCTCTTACTGAAACATCTACACTGACCAGAAAAAGAGGAAAACTGGGAAAGGTGCTACTTCACTTGTTAACTGTTGCTTCCCGTTGAAGACAAATACATCAACTCACCCAGAGCACAGACCTGTCAGTTTCCAAACTTCGCTCCCCGTGTGCTTTAACAGTAACTGTAGCCATGATTTCCAACAACTTCATTAAAAGCCTCCCGGGTTTTTTAAGATTCTTAAAATGTTTTACATCTAATTCTGTAGTGTTTGCTTCTTCCCTTCCTGCACACACACTTTACACATTAATCGCTTCAAAATACAGCTGAGTATCATAGAATCATAATAATTTGGATATCGCTGATGATGAGAAATGATTATGCTACAGAAGGAGATACTTGCTAGTAGAATCACAGAATCACAGAATAGTTAGGGTTGGAAAGGACCTTAAGATAATACACTTCTAACCCCCCTGCCATGGGCAGGGACACCTCACTCTAAACCATGTCACCCAAGGCCTCGTCCAACCTGGCCTTGAACACTGTCAGGGATGGAGCATTCACAACCTCCCTGGGCAACCCATTCCAGTGCCTCACCACCCTAACAGGAAAGAATTTCTTCCTTATATCCAATCTAAACTTCCCCTGTTTAAGTTTGAACCCATTACCCCTTGTCCTATCACTACAGTCCCCAGTGAAGAGTCCACCCCAGCATCCCTATAGGCCCCCTTCAGATACTGGAAGGCTACTATGAGGTCTTCAGGCTGAACAGCCCCAACTTTCTCAGCCTGTCTTCATACGGGAGGTGCTCCAGTCCCCTGATCATTCTCGTGGCCCTCCTCTGGACTTCTTCCAACAGCTCCATGTCCTTTTTATGTTGAGGACACCAGAACTGTACACAATACTCCAAGTGAGGTCTCACGAGAGCGGAGTAAAGGAGCAGGATCACCTCCTTCGACCTGCTGGTCACGCTCCTTTTGATGCAGACCAGGATATGGTTGGCTTTCTGGGCTGCGAGCACACACTGCCAGCTCATGTTCATTTTCTCATTGACCAACACCCCCCAAGTCCTTCTCCACAGGGCTGCTCTGAATCTCTTCTTTGCCCAACCTGTAGCTGTGCCTGGGATTGCTCCGACCCAGGTGTAGGACCCTGCACTTGTCATGGTTAAACTTCATGAGGTTGGCATCAGCCCACCTCACAAGCGTGTCAAGGTCCCTCTGGATGGCATTCCTTCCCTCCAGAATATCAACCGAACCACACAGCCTGGTGTCATCAGCAAACTTGCTGAGGGCGCACTCAATCCCACTGTTCATGTCAGAGACAAAGATGTTAAACAAGACCAGTCCCAACACCAATCCCTGAGGGACACCACTCGTTCCTGGTCTCCAGCTGGACATTGAGCCTACAGAGCATAACTGAGTTTACATTCTGTTTTCTATTTAAACTCTACTTTTGACACAGTACAATGTGTGCCCAGGTACATTGTGACCCTTCATTTAGTACTTTACATTTAAAAGGCATTTTTACCTCTTCAAAGTCCTCTTTGGCTGATGGAAGATCACGAGCTAGGCTGGCATCCCCCAGGTGTTTCTCCGTCCTCTCACCTTGCACTACAGTGCTCTTGATGACTTTGCTGACCTTCCGGCCTTCTGCTGGCTTGGACTGGAACTCAGGGGCAGTAGGCAAAACAGCAGGTTCAGACACAGTCACCTGTAAGGTTAGAAAGCAGAAGTATACTGGAGGTGAATGACATAATGGATGCTAGGAATGCTTTTGGCTACTCTGTCATTCTTTCTTGATTGCGGCCATAGAGAACAACAGGAGCGTCTCACTTTCCACACATATCCATCAAAACAGCAAGCTACCTTTCATTTCCTGCTTTACAACTCCAGAATGAGACGTTATGAGGCAGCAGGAATGGCTCTGGGATACAGCTGCCCTGCACCACACTGCAGGCTACTGTACCAGCTCACCTGCTGAGGCTGACAGAGTTACACCAAGTAATAAGTGGAGCTCTTGCTGCAACTCCTCCCTGCATTCACGCAAGTAATACCAATTAGCAGTGTTGGTCCATACTTAACATTAAGATATTCTTCTGAGAGACAAGTCACACTTGTAAAGCCAATGAACTCTTACAGAAACAACCAGACCAGAATGGTAGGGAACGTGACAAACACAATTTTATTGGAAAAAATACATACTTACTGTCTATGGGCTCCATATGAAAAAGACTGTATTTTCTGGTATGGTCAGCTAACTAAAACCAAATTACTTTGTTTTCTTGTTGCCTTCCTCCTAAAGAATTAACTCTGAGGCTGAATTCTAGCAAGAGAACCACAATTCTGTTCTTAGCATTTTTAATGAAATTCACTCGTTACCTGTCATTTTCAACGCAGACCTGCCAAAAGCAAGCCTGGTGGCTAGCTTCTGGCCCTCCAACCTTACATCTGTCCATCCAGACACTGGTGAACTAAGGCAGGGAAAGACAAAGTGAAAGGTGCTTACCTTTGCGGGTCATCATTGCTTTTTAATGACCTAGCTCTACAAAGAATTTGCATGTAAGCGATACTTTTTTTTTTTCCTCTGCAAAGCAGAGAACACACTAGAAAGTGAAACCTAATGTAACTGTCTGGTTTTAGAAAGGCTTAGTTGTGGACACCTAGAGAACATTGATCATTCCCTTTCAATGTCTGCTACTCTTTTCCTTAAAGTAAAATGTATGCTAACAAATACAGAATCACTTTCTATCCGTATGTCATCTTAGTACGAAGCTTTATGAACTCTGTACTTCCCATAAATGGCAGAATCCATGTCCTCGTTCCCTCTTTCCACTTTCCCACCCCCACCTTTCTCCATCTGTCTTTGGAGGCCTTTCCATCTGCAAGAATGGTTTTCCAAGTACCATTCAAACTTCAGTCTTTGTTTTAATGCAAGCAAGGGGTGTTTATGCTGCTTTGTATCATCATCAGGAAAGCATGAGATCTGACCTCTGACTGTTCGCTGCTGCTCTTCAGCACGACCCGTTTTACGACTTTGGAATAGCTATCCCCTTCTTCGATGGCAACAGGTTTCTGTGGCACTCCTTGCATTACAACTTCCTCTTTCTCTGTGCCATCTGGAGAGACGTATCGCCGGATGATCTTTCTCGTGACCTGAAGAAGGAAATAGAGCTTTGTCCCAAAAGACTTAACAAAACCATTCTTCCTCTTATTCTCGTTATTAACTGTAACGCTAAATGATCTTGCGAGTCAAGCCAACTCTTAACACATTGCAATCTCTCACAAAGAGAAATTCTTGTTCCTTCCATGCTCTACTCTTACAATTTTGCCATGACTGTGGATCTTGAACAGTAAGAAGGTAGCAAGGGGTGCAACTGACAATACCTTCTTTACCACCGTGTGGCCACGTTCATCTGTGTATTGCTCTTCTGTGACTGTTTCTGGTGGCATTTCAGGCATACCATCAGCCTGTACAACAAAGAACAAAGCTTTATGAAGTGAGGCCTTCGTGTGGGTAAGTTTAAATAAGCACTGTCAAAATCAGTTAATTGGTTCAAGAATGGAAAACCAAAAACTACTGCAAAATGTTAGAAAAAACAGTTGATCTGCAAATAAATACTTAGAAAAGCATGCAAAGAAAAGCAATGCTGCAGTGGCCGGGCAAATATATGCTAGCCTACAGTGTCATGTGTGGGGCTGAGAAGCCTCCACCTGCCTCCAACTGAGGAATGTAACATAATTCAGCATTGGGTTAGCAGTATTACTGTAATCCTTCTTTCAAGAAAAGGTATCAGAATGGCTTATCCAAAGCCCATGCATTAGTTGGGAGTGTTCCAGTGTCAAATGCAATATCAGCCAAGTAGTTGTCCCAGCAGCAGACCTAAGGGTGTCACCAGGGCCCAGTCACCATTGGCTCGTGCAGTCGTTCAACACTCAGTACCTGAATAATCACCCGGCGACGAACGACCCTGGTAGTGATCATCTCATCCTCATCTGAGCTGGTCTCCAGCTTCCCTAACTCCTTGGCTATTTCCTATTGGAAGCATGGAAGCAGTGCTCTGTTGTACGCAGTTCTAGGAGTACTGACTCATTTTTATTTAAAACTGTTTTTGCTTTGAGGCGGGAGGCTTTGGCCCCTCAACTATGCATCAATTCTTCGTTAGCACAGTGACAAAAAAAGGATGAATCTTTGTGGTACTAATTCTGTGGAACTCTCTTAGTGCTCTTAAAGTTGCCAGGGACAAGCCTGAAAGTTGCAGCATGACATCACTGCACTGCAGGGGACTGGAAGATACTACTAACACCAGCTCCGGAATTCATACGTATCACGTACAGTTTCTGTATTACTTACACAGAAAATTATAGGAAAGCCTTTTAATTCTCTCTACCGGGAGGTAGAGTGAAGCAGATAGACAGCAGGACTAACCAGTCTGAACTACAGGACAACAGCCACAGCACTGGAAAGATCAAGAAAAATTAGTAATGAGCATTGAAGCTGCTCTCTCTCCCACATAGGGAGGATTTAACTATTTAAAGGAAGAGGCCAGAATGTAAAGAGAACCTGAAAAGAACTATATGTGAACTGTCAATAGTACATAAGCACCCAGGGGAAAATAAATAAGGTGCAGGAGGGAGGTGTTTCTTTTCAGTGGTTGTTGGTTTACTTTAATAAAAGAACTGAAGGGAACAAGAAGTCCATTATTTTTGAGGGCAGCTTTTCCCACAGCAGCCATCCTACCAAGTCCCATCATAGCTAATCTTTCAAAGTCTGAGTTATCGCACACATCTTATATTGAACCTTTTTCTGTGATCCCAGAGGCAGAGCTCTGAAACTCTTCATTCTAGAGGTGGTACATTTGGCAATACAAACGGTAAAGAAAGAAGAGCTAGTTTCTGGGTGCATATCACAACAGGAAACAATTTCAGCTAAAGTAGAACTGTGTTGCCTCTGCTCCAACTTCACTGAGAAACTCATCTCGTGCACAATTACACCTTCTCCTTTTCTTCCGCTTCCAACCGGCAAAGAGAGCTCTTTATTCTTAGACCTATATCTGCCAAGTCATTTACATTCCCTACTAAAAGCCACAAGTTGCTGTTTCCTTGCCTCTGACATTTTCTCCTCTCCCAACATTGCCATAAGGTTCCTTTGTCTTACGCAACTGATAACCTACCTCCCATAGACTTTTTTTCTTCTCTTTCCATCTCCTGTCTCCGTTTCTCCTTGCTGCCTGCACTCTACCTAAACATCATTCTCAAGTTCTTTTCTTCTGGTACATCCTTAGTATTCTGCAGTGTACCTCTTTTCCACCTCACTAACTTTACAGTATTTTTCATGCCATTGTTCATGCCGCTCTGGGCTAGTCGTGCCTGTCTTCATAAGCTTTTAACCTTATTCCTTTGTAACTTGCTACACCTGATTTTCACCATCTATTTGTACATAGTTTGTTTTTGCACCTGTGACTTACACTAATCCTCTCATATTCACAGACATAACTGTCCCAGACAAAAGAACAATAAAGGTAGCAGAACTGCAATTTCAGCCTGTCTGTATTTAGGGTATGTGGCTTGCTTAAGCTTTGAAAACAACTGACTTTATACAACTGACTACAGCTAACACTTAGAACCACAGAGGCAAGGAGAAAAGACTCAATTGCAGCTGGGGATTAATTAGAACAATTCAGAATAGTCTCATCTTAAGGAATGAGCGAAACATAAAGTTTGTTCATGTGTGTCAATTCTGTGAAAGCAAACTCATCATTTACCTTTTCTAAGGATTCCTCTTCATAGCCTTTTCCAAACTGCTCTCTCTCTTCATCAGTTGACTCTACTATCACTAGACTAGTTCTCCTTGGAGAGAGGTCATCCTGGCAGAGCTGAGTGTCCTCAGGCTCTCGGATGACAGGCGAGTCACCTCTCTGAGCAGACAGCGGACACTGCGAGGACAGCTTCTCTCTCTCTTCCTTCAACATGCTGAAGCGGGTGGATTTCTCGCCTGTTGCATTTCCAGTTACTGGTGCTGTGGACCACTCTGTTCCTGGAGTCGTGATGCTGCAAATTATAGGATAGAGGGAAGTTACTATCATGCGGTGCTTACCAGTTGCCATAAATTATGGCCCATTATGTGCCAATTCCATATTGTTATGTGTCTGTTGTCTAGCTAAGTCTAGAAATAACCAGTACTCTGTGACAGTAACTCCAGAGCAATTGGGCTAGGAGTCCTTTTTGTCTTCCCACCCAAGAAAATCTCCAACTGGATGTCCAAATGCTGCACTCATAAACTTGGTCTCCATAAAGTATTTATGTGAACTTTGCTGTTGCTCCTGTCCTCCAAAGCCTATGTATTACCTATTATTTCCAGAAGGAAAGAGACTGGATGGCTACAGATGGATATGAAGTAACTACTCCATTAATTTCAAGCTATACAGCTGCAGGTGATGAGAGATTGACCTTTACATAGAGTTCCAGAGCCTTACCCAACAGAAATTTGGTAGAGAATCTTACTTTGTTTGCAAAGTTATTTTCATTGTTTAACATTGCTACGATTTAAATGATACCACAAGTTATTTAAACAAATTGTAACAATGTGACTACCGAACATATAGAAAGATAAGACATCTATTAAAGCAGATGGACATGCAATATTTCCCTGTTGCATATGAGTAATTAACAGCCACTTCCAATATTAATATACCTCTCATCCAACTGAGTTTCATCAAGTAACCTCATAACTCCAACAGTAGCTTGGAAAGTCACATCTAATTTGAACCAGTCATGACAATATTACCTGCTTCACTACCTAGGATCTTCTTCTGAGGGGACTTTTCCCTTTTCATGTATATTGTTAAAAAGACTAAAAAGACAACTATTTAAAAAATGGTGGGATTACAGCCTGAAAAAAAGCCAGCCTGCAAAAATTAAATCTTTCCCTTCTGAAACTTTTGCGAGGCTATTGAACCAGTGTCAGTATGCTTACTTCTTCCCTCCTGCTCGTCCTAAAAGTTAACTGAGGAAATGGTTACATTTTAATAGTAGGAGTCCAGATTCCTTTCTCCATAACCAATCCACAAGTAGACAACGGTAATAACACTTACAGAATAACTTGCATGTAAATGGCTTTTTATCTGATACGAGTTGGGTTTTGACAATTTGCTGTGCTCCTCTGACTACTGCCCTTGAAACAACTATATTCTAAAGTATGAAACAACTTCATTGTAGTATACATTAAACAGTATTGCTGCAGCTTGCTTTTTTTTTATCCCATTCACCAGATTATATGTATTTTTTGTATAGTTTCTCTTGGTAGGAATAATAGTAGTATAATTCCTTACAAGTTATTTAAATTTCCAGTCCAATTTTCCTCCTAGTTCACACTAGACGTGAAGGGGGGCGATATTCCTGATATCACTACGCTCATTTAGTGTGTGCAGTAGTGTCTGAAATGTATTCTCTATTCCTCAGAAACATTAATTTCCTCCTGGAAAATCCTTAGGAAATATTGGTATTTTTCCCTATCAGTGCAATGTAAGTCCTCCACCTTATACTCTGCTTTCCACCTCTCACACTTGCTCCTGGGTGTAAAGCATATCGCAAGCAAAAGAATTCCCCCAAAGACCATTTGCTGGACTCAGCTGCACTGGAACGCTTGGACCTGTGTCTCTACATCAAAGCTAATCACTCACAGGAACCTCATTTTTTGGAAGAGGATCCTTGCTAATATGCTAGCCTACTAGTACCTTAAAGAACTCTGCATGGAGTCATCAGCATGTGACTAGGGACAGTGGGAAGAAAGAAACATGAGCCTTTTCAAGTTCCTTTCCAAATGAAACTGACCCCACTGACAGCCCCAGATCAGAATTCAAGGCTTTGTTGTGCAGGTCTTCTAAATTTATACTTCATTGTATGTAGCTCCCTTAAGTGCTTTTGCCTTCTCTGTATAAAACCCCACATCTATTCATTTGGCCATTTGCAATTTACTTCTAAAAATCTAGTTCCTAACATGTGGTTCTGAGTTTTGTAAGTAACAATTAAGTTGGAAAATTTTTGCATTGAGTGAAAAAGCCATCCTGAAGTTAAAGGAAGGCTCCTCTCTGTAGCACTAATTCCATTCAGTTTACCACAACTTGGAATCTAACATGTGAGAAATCTATATGGTTGGCAAATACCCCCAAACACATCTCTCTTCTTTCATGTGTACCAGACTGGATCATGGTTTTGTCTGCACAATGACGGACTGACCTGTCTAATCCTTAAGGTTTCCTCCTTAACCTGCAGTAGGAACTAACAAACAGGTGCATGCAATTGGAGAATTCTATGTGTTCATCGTTTCAAAGAAAACTGTAAAATCCCCTTATTACACAGAAAAGAAAGAACCTGTTCCATCGTGGTTTCCTTCTGGTCTTTTGACACTTACAAATATTCCTGTGGTGAAGCAGATGTTTTTTCTGGCACGTCTTGGGGTTTCCCTGAGAATTCAGCTTCGACTTGTTCCTTATGTGCTTGTCTCAGGAGCTCGGCCATTGATGCTTCTGCCTCACTCCTGGGAGTGCTGTCTTGAAAAGGAGAACAACTGACAGACACATCTTCCTCAGAGACAAGAGGAGGGTGTTTGGTTGGCTCACTGTCTTTAGATATTCTGTGGTGGTCTTCTCGCTTATGTCTCGACCTGTATACTTCTTCTTGCAGTGCAGAAAACCCTTTAAGAAAAAGAGATGAGAAATGTCATTACAAGTCTTACTAGAAAGCAGAAAGTCCTTCATGTTCTCCATGCGCATTTTAAATCCCTGGATGGAACACACTGCCTGAAATTTTTAAATATCTGGAGTGGGAGCCTCTGTAAGTAGCTGAAGGAACACTGGATTATCACTGCTATTGACAAATAATGAATCTTTTCAGTAACAGGCAAAAGGCAAATCACCCAGAAATTTACTTAGAGTCAGTAATCTTGAAACCCTCAAAGTATGTAAGAAGATTCATAATAGGTTTCTCCCAGCTCAGTATGATAGGCTGTAGTTACACGTATCCCAGCCCCACAACCTCCACCCCCTTATTGATCTGCTTATGGGAAAAAATGACTACTCAGGTATGGACAAAGATATTCACATAGGACTAGGTGCAAAAACTCACTCATTTACGTGCTTCAAAGCATATAAAACACCCACCCCAACCCCTAATCTCAAAGCAAGGGCTCTCATTCTGAAAAAAAATGTATAATAACATCTGCATTTCTGTTCCATGGGTGACAAGCTTGGGATTTTCTTTTTCCTTATTAGGCACACTCACAAGGAACCTACCGAACTCTGAAAAAGAGCTTGTGGAAAAAGACTGTCATGAATTTGGGTTGGAAACAGAGGTATACATTCTAAAAGTAACTGATTGTGATATCAGAATGCTAATTATAACGAGCAACCTTCTATTCCTGCACTCTCTTGAAGATGGGATGTTCGCAGCTGTCTTAATACTTTACTAAGCTAGTCCTTCAATATTAAGGATGTAAAAAGATCACCTCCAGAAAAGAGAATTGTCTTTCATGCAATCTGGAGGTGTTTCTTTAGTTTGCAACCATTGCTCAAATTGGACTTGGACTGGACTGGGAAACTGAAGAAATCCAACAGAATCATAGCAAAATTACAATATCCTGGATACTTGAATTCAAACATTCTCCAAAGTTTTCCTTCTTCAAATTACAGTCCAACCCTAATGCAAGCTTCGTAACTTTCATTAAAGTATTCATATGAGAAAAAAACTCAACAAACCAGGCACTGGGATTTGCTGTAGTTTCTGACAAAATTCCTTTATATGCTTTGAAAGAATCTTCTGATGGGGAGATCTTATACCCCATGAAATGGCAACTAGTGCAACATCATGGTTCCGCTCATCCCCATTATCTGTGCTAGCAAAATGGGATCCTAGCATTCAGCTGTAAGAGCTAATGGATTCTCCTAGTCAAATATTTCAGAACAGAAGCTAACACTCAGGTGAGATGACCCAGGCAGCCTGGATAGGGAGACCTTTACCTTCGCTGTGGTCTGATCCTATCGTTTGCTCCATTTCCACGTATGTGCAAGTGCTGTGGACCTGCCTGGAATCAATGTCGCTGGTCTCCATGAGGTGAACAATATCCATGCGGTTGATTTTTGTAAGACATTGGGTGAGATTCATATCTGTGGCATTAGAATGACACCGTGTAGCCAAGTTAAGAATTTCACAAGCTTTCTCCCTTCTGTTTTCCACAGGGAGGACATACACAGGATACTGACCAACATAATATCACATATAAAATACAGATGCATTTAGAAGCATTACCACATAAAATCTAAAATGAACCAAAGGGCTGCCTATAAAAATTACCACTCATTTTGTCTCTTCCTGTAACCAATTTGTTTAGTTCCCCCAAACATTTTCCAGTTAAGAAAAAAGAGGCTTCTGTTTTTCCGCTCTTTCTTTGTTATAGGATGTTCTGCCTCACCCTCAAATAAAGAAGTTTGATCTATTTCTCTGAGAATCCTATGTTGTGCCATGTTACGCAGACAAGCTTTGGAAAAAAACCAAACTTAAATATAACCTGTGGTCATTCTTTCTACAGCCAACATTTTACCCAAATTCTCTTTTTGTGATTGTAATCAGCATCTGTCACCTCAACTAGCAAACAGAAGACAGTTATATGGACTGTAAGACGAAACAAACCTGTCGCATGCTTCCCATCCCTTTCGAGCCAGTATTTGAGGAGCGCGTGGCTCTGGTCTTGAAGTGAATTTGGATTTTCAATTCGGATCTGGTGAATTTGCTCTTCGGTGAAATCCAGTTCTCTCGCTAGCTCTGAAAAAGAAATCCACCTCTGTAAAGATGCCTTATTCTTTCTCCCTGCCTTCAATCTATTTTACAGCCATCGTCAGCAAAGTAGATTACAGACTTCTCTGAAACCAGATTGTCTTTGCTTCTGTGTACCTTGTGTTATATTTAGAGGCACGGTTCAACAGTAAGTTCATGACAAAGACAGAAATGCTTACACCTAGAAATCTACACCTAGAAATCTAAGCTTTTATTTTTTCTGCCTGTCGTTCCTAGTTCTGACAGGCACACACTGTCATTGACCATATTTAGCAGTGATGAGCAAATAGCACAGCTGCAGAAATAGCACACAAGCAGATAAAAATATTTCTAGTAGAGCACCCTGCTCAGCAGATTCTATCCTCTGCAGTGTTGAATATTTTAGAAGGCATCATCGAAATCTAGGCAGAGGTTTTCACTTTTCATAATGGCATTTTGTAGTCGGGCTATATTAAAACATAGTATTACTACTCCGCTGGACTTGTTTCATTTAAAGCAATGTCTACAACAGCTGAATAAAGGAAACTGAAAACACGAAACTGAGGATAACTGATGTCTTTCTGACATAGCACAGCCTCAGACTGCTGTCCAGAAAAGCGAAATGTTTTAATAGTCTGTAGCATCTTTACTGTATCTGAAACCAGGAGCAGTTTCCTGCCACTGCCTGCTGAGAAAGGTCATCAGATGTGTCAAAACCATGGAGAATTTGTGAGAAACCTACTGTTATTCCTGGTCTCTGGATTTCTGCTGCTTTCAAAAAGAAGGATTCCTATTTTATTCCACTGTCATCACTACAGGGGCATGGACTTTATTTTGGAGGGTATCACATTTTAACAGGGAGGAAGGAACCCTAACCTCAAAGCATGGACAACCTCATCTCCAGGCTGACTAGTAAACTGGTGTAACTGTAAATTTCAACAAAGATATAGCAACTACACTTGAGAGTCAAATCCTTGGGAGTTGCATACATTTGGACAAAAAACAGATGCCACTTTATCCCCCAAATTAACATTTGATGCAGTCATATTTACTATAATCCATCTTTACCATAATCTAAGATGGGAATATTTATGCAGTGTATTATTCTGCCCTCTCTAAAATGCTATAAATCATTATTGTCTACTTTGATGAGTGTCCCTTAATTCTACCTTTGTTTTCAGAACTATTAATTTCTATAACATTTTCATCATATTCTGCTACATTGCATAGGTCCAAGTCCTACTGAATTCAACATATTCCATGATAGGATGAGTGACAGATTCTCCCAGTCTTCTCTATGGATTGAAACACAGGACAGGGCAGGAAGAGGTGAGTGACATATCAAAAAGTATTGGTGATACTGTGAGTATATTTATATATACTTATATATGCTTATAAAAACAGTATAGAGCACAATCTTCGTTATCGTTCTTTTCACTGTAACAGAACTCATCTTTAACTCCTACAGCCTTGCTTCTTTCCAGCAGCATGGTACCGCTCTAGGGATAGATACAAAACACTGTTGACCCAATTTAATGGGTTTTGCAGCAACTTCTCCTTGGATTGCACCATTTGACATGGTGCTAAGATTTCTTCCTGACTCCTTTTCTTCATAAACAATTTTGAGCCAGTTTTCAGCAACAGACACCTGCATTTCACTCTGTGCTACTTTCATTTGTACCCAGTCCTGTTAACTGATTCAGACCTATTTGATCCACAATGTTAAAGTAATTGCCACAAATAAGACCCTTTTTATCCATTTTTCTTCAGGACAGTTATGTAGAAAAGAAGCTCATGTAATTTATTCCTATAGTGGCCTTCCAGCTGAGGAATCCCAGAACACGGATAATGTTTGTTCCTGTATCCTGTTCTAGCCAGACATGTTGCATTTCACAAGGAAAAAGAGAGGAACGTATGCCAGCTCTCTCACCCTTCTCCATGGAGATGCAGCAAGAACAAAGTCCTTGTCTCCACATCCCAGTTCTTACCTAAAAGGCTATAGGAATCTTAGTATCCAGAAGACAGTAAACTACTGAAATATCTCTATCAAATATCTTTAGATAATCAGGAAATCATCTGAAAGAAACATGAAAATAGTGAGGAATGCTTCACTCCTTTCTGGACGACATGCATTTTACCTGTCCAGCTGAATCCAAGATGATCAGCAATGTGGGCCAGTCTTTCCTCCATCCTGTCCTGATCATCCTGTTGATCTAAAGGTCAAAGAGAATCAGAAGTTGCCTTTTACAAGTTAAAAAACATTCCCACAGGTGATATAGCCCAAGAAGGGAAAGTGCCATTTTTTTTCCTACCACTGCTTTTCTAACTGCTAAATGGGGCGAGGCTATTAAAACTGGTAACTCAGGTGGGGACTGTAAATTCCCCAAGTTTACAAAAAAAAAAGCAAAACCAACAAAAACAAAACAGTAAAAGCTTGATCTTTCAAAAAGCACAGGACCATCCACATTTTCTGTTTGAAAATCAGGCTTTCGTGAGAAAGTTTAAACAAGGACTGAAGTGACTGGTGTGCCTATTTTGGCCATGCATTTTATTCTAAAACTTCACTCTAGCAGCACATTGAGGACTTTAAGTCAAGAGCTGTGATTTTCCATGCCTCCTTAGTGAATACCAAAGTTGACAAATTTATTTGGACCGGTGCTTCTAATTCTGTTCTTTCCATTGTAGGGGAAGCTTTGTTCAAAGAGCCCATATGGCACTTAATATTACGCTTTGTATTTGAGATATCGTTAACTTAAGTGTCAGTGATGTTTTCAACAGGGTCATGATATACAATATTTAGAATGAAGGCAAGGAAAAATAGGACGTTTGTTCATCTGTCTTCATTGCTTTCAGACAGCTCCTCCCATCTCCGAAGCTACTTAGAGGATGGCAGAATTTTAGTTTTGATTTTCCCTGAAAGCACACCTGGATGGCAATATCTCACATGAAAAAATTGCTTTGCATTAAAGACATATGCATGTTTCTTTTTAGCTGCTGGATTTCCATTATGGCTACTCGGTAGTAGTACACAAGCAGCAAGAGAAAAAGCAAATGCCAGAAAACTCATACTAAAGTTACTAGTGACATAAATCTTTTTTGAGACATGGATCATAAAAAAAATGACCATGAAAAACTTAATTGTGCAACTTTCTATACCTTTCTTTGCATAAGAACTCAAAAGAAAATAAATTCTCCTGTCTTTGTTTCAGTTGAAGCCCAGTTATGTCACTATTATTGAAAATTAACAGTTAAGAATAGGGCCAGGGAAAGTCAAAAGCCAAAATGTGCACAACCTGAGCCATCGGTTGAATGGTAAAGCAAGACACATATTGAGAAGCATTTTTGATTATTACAGTAACACTTCCCACAAGCGTTCATGGTTTGCAATCTTGAGATTTGTTTCACAGACAAGAAAAATACAGACACAACACAAAAAACCCAAACGCGGCTCACTGGGAAAATAAAACAAACAACACAACCAACCACTGAAAGCTTAAAAGAAAATGCTACACATATCACGCATGTATACACACGTACAGACACACACCCACACACACACCAAAGAAAACAAAAAACAAGAAGTTTAATTCATGACATGCGTCGCACAGGGAATCCCAGTCGTCGGCAAATACCTTCAGCATGGTCATGGACATTTTCATCAGGGATACGTTCAATCTGAGTCTCTATGGACTCATCCCAAATGGGTCTGGTGTCAAAGATGTCTTCTGGAACTGACTGCTGGGTCTCATCGGATGGCACATTTTCAATAACTGAAACTTCTAGGGCACTACTGCTTTCATCATCTGAAACTAATTCTTGTTCTCTCTCTGACTGTGTGAGTCTTTCCACTAACTTAGAAGCTTCATCGCTAATTTCTTCAAAGAATTCTATGGAGTTTTTGTAAAGGTCAAAAAAATGTTCCTTACTTTCTTCTGTGGCTGTAGTGCTTCTGCTTTTAACTGGCAACCATGACGAAAATACTTTGGGTCTTGCTGTTGTTGCCTCATCTGAGTCTAGCTCAAGGTTGATCTCTTTCTCCCTCTCTCTAATCTCTGCTTCTGCCTCAGCATAACTCCTAGCTTTTATTGAACGCTTAGTCTTTGGGTCCATGGGAATACTTGTATCGGATTCAGATTTACTGCGGTTATCTTGTTTTATGGGTGGTTCGCCAGTCACATCCAGAGCTTTGGCTGACTCCAGCTTGTGGACAGATGCATCTGTGTACATATGCTGCTGTTCAGTTTTTTGGAAAGCTGTTTTGACCGGGATTTGAGACTTTGGTTTCACTGGGTCATCTTTTCCTTCGCACTGCAAACCATCTAGGAAGTTGTCTGCAGGAAGGCTCTCATTTTCCAACTGTTGCAATGCAGCAGCTGTTCTTACAGGAATTCTGGATTTGCTTTCACAAGAAGGCACTCTCTCCATTACAACAGTAGGGTTTTCAATCACAGATCTCTGTTCCTCTGGTGAAGAGTCTGGGGACTCCTCACCCTGTACAGAACTAACTAATCTAGTCACTTTGGAAAAATCTAATTCATTTTCTACTATGGACTGCTTGGGAGAGGTAGGGGAAGGCACCTGACTGCTCTCAACCACGTTGGTCTCTGTTCTGGAGAAAGGCTCAGCTTCCAAGGCAGTGGTTTCTTTCTTTGGTGATTTTGAAGAAGCTGAAATACCCATTTTAATTGGAATTCTGGATTTCAGATCTGCTCTTGCGGTGCCTGTGCCGACACCTTCATCCATCGTTTCTTCCGATCTATCGCTACACTCAGATGCTGAGGGTGAATATTTCAAGGTATCATTTTCTTGTACATTCAAGCCCTGCAATTCTAAAGGTGAAAATGGATCTGGTGAGCTCTTCATCTTACAAGATTCTATCTCTGCTGCTTCTTTCACTTCTTCCTCAGGCTGCTGCCCCATTTGGAAGAAGTGAAAGCTTTCATCTGGATAGTTCCTTTTGGTCATATCAATGGCCCCACTTCTGGTCATTTCAAACAACTTTCCTTCCTGAAAAAGAAATGGATTCTGTTCGCTAAGCGGTGTCCCTTCTTCAGTGGGTGTTCTGGCTGGTGTGGTGTCAGGTGTTGTACCTTGTGATCGCCTGTCTACCATCAACCCAAATATTTTCTGTTCCTCTTCTTTCACCCGAGCTTCAAAGGCTTCATCATCTTCGCGTATTTCACTCCACATGTCAGAATCCACATCAGTTTTAGTGATGACAACTTGACCAATTGATTTCTCTGTTTCATCTCTGATATCTGTAAAGGCAGATTCTGCTAATTTTGTGGAATCCAATGCCAAAGACCCCTGTGATGTTTTCTGGAACCCATCCTCTGTTTTGGGCTCTATTTCCATATATACTTCCTCTGAAAAGCAATACTTGCTACCTGTGTCTCTGCTAAGTAAAGCTTCACCAGTCTGATTTTTCCCTTCCTCGGTAGAACAGATTTCCCTAGGCAGCAGATTTCTACCAGATCCTACATTATTTTCAGGGTCAGTAAAGGAATGTTCAGAAGACATGTTCTCATAAGGGCTTACTATACCACTTTCAGCAGCATCTGCTACACAGCTTTCCAGTTCCACTGCTTCAGCAGTAAGGGATGAATACTCTGGTAGGGGTTCCTCAGCATGAATCTCCCCTGGACATGTTTCAGAATCTGTATCTGCTTTTCCCAAACCACTTCCCGAAGTGGAATGCTCAGTGGTATCACTTTCAGCCTGTTTGGCACGTTGTGGTACAGAATACTTGGCGGTACTGTGTCCACAAGAACTACTATCTACATTCTCCAGCACAGCTCCCGTTGAAATGAGATCTGTGCATGTTAACAATGAGGTGGCATCAACACCTTTTTTGGTAGCATCACATCGCTTGAGTGTTAGCAACGACTCAATGTGAACTTCTTTTTGAGAACTGGCATCAATGGAATGACACAGAGTACCCCCAGATTTTATGGCTGGGGCATTAGGACTAACAATCTCCCTGTCATTTGTACAGCCACACTTTGATTGTTCAGGTTCTGCACAACCATCAGAATGACAAGCAGAAGTCGTACAGCTGCCCTTGGGGATAAGCGGTTCTTCTTTGTCATCTTCTATCAGCTTATCCCCTTCCACTTTAACCACACCTATGATGACAGAGCACCTTTCTGAATCAATAGGTTGAAAACCTGCTTCGTCAGGGCTAGAGTGGGAGTCGACACTGGATGGTAATGGTGAAGGTGGCTGCACTCGGATCACAGGCTCCATTAATAGGCCCGAGTCGGCCTCTCTTTTCAGCCGAGTCAATTCTGGCTCACTTTCTGAAGAGGAAGAGCTTTTTCTAGATTCAGCTGTCAGCATCACCGTTGTAGGTATATCTCTGTCTTCCACAGCCATCGACTGTGGTTCTTCAGCTCTACATGCAACTTTTGAATTGGCAACGGCAGCAGATGCATCTTGCTTACAATCCTTTTTGCAATCTCTCTTCTGTTTTGCTTCTTGTTCCAACTCATCAAACATTCTGATTTTGGTCACCATTTTAAACATCTCCTCTTCAGGGGTGAATCTCTTCTTTGGCTCGCTTTCCAAATCGTGCTCTGGCTCCTCGCTGACTTCAGGGATCATGGCTGACTTTCGTACGTTGGACAGTGCCTGTGAGTCTGCTGTTTTAGGTGTGATTTCATAGCTAATTTCTTCAGAACTAGGAGTCTCAGGTGAAAGCGGACTTTTCCCTGAGCTCTCCATGAGGGACGTTTGCTCTAGACTGTCATCATCAGCACTTCCCTCAGGGTCGCGGAGAATCCTGGAACGCACCGATGTCAACTCTGGGCAGGTTTCTCCTTTGCTAAGAAGGGATGGCAGAGGACCCTGCCCCAGAATCCCAGCCTTCACTGTTTGTTCTACGGGGCTATTTTCAAGAGAATCACGGCAGGGAGACTCTTTCACAGGACTGGGCTCCAAAGAATCAGGTGTTTTGTGTGATGAGTTATCTTCTAGCACTGGGCTTGCCTCCAGGGAGTCTTTATGACTTATAGCCAAAGAGTCATCTGCAACTGGGCTAAAGTTTTCACTATCATGGCTAGCAAGTGAAAGTTCCAATTTCTGGGGACTTCTAACTGCAACACGGCGTTCACAAGTTATATCTTTGTCTTTTGCTAAAGCAGTGTCATGTGTTTCAGAAGACTTAGTTAAATGTACAGTGGTTGCAGATTCTGTATCCCTGCTAATATCTTTCATAATGGAAGCTGAGCTACTTTCTGCAAGCTTAACAGCCTCTTCTTCAGAGGCTGTAGGTACAAGCTCTTCCGATACACAGTCAGAATGAGACTCAGTAACAGCACCTAGCTGCCTTTCAGTAATACCTTTTTCATCTTCCTTTGAAGAGAATTCCTTCCAAGAACATGTTTCTGCTGTTGTGGGGGCTCTAGCTGCTCCTTTAGCTTCTTCAGTTGGCCCATCTGTTTTCTTTGGTGAGAACGAAAGGCTTTCAGGGCTTGTTTCTGGAGTTTCTGCCAGACCCTCATGCTTATAACTTTCCTCAGAGCTGATCTGAGGTGTTCCATCTAGCAGGCTACCTGGAGAATCGGCCACACCTTCATGTTTCAGGCTTTCAGAGCTCCCATCAAAAGCAGAGCTTTGCAGAGAAAGAGTGGGCAGGAACCCATCTTTCCCATACTCTGTGGGAAAAGCAGTGCTGAAGGGGCTGGTCAGTACTTGCTCCAAGTTAAGTTCTCCCTCCTCCGTGACCGAAAGGTGTCGGAACTGTTGGTATTTGTCATTGTCCTCCAGTTCTTCTTTAATGACATCAGAAAAGTCTGTTGAGGTTTTTCTGTCAGGGCTGATCTGGAAGTCAGTATCTCCCTGGTCATCAGAAGGCCTGCCCTTTTCAACCACTGCATCTTTGGCACTTTCATCATCAAACACCGGAGGGAGAGGTTCACTTGTTTTTTTGCTGCCCTGCTCTTTTACCTGGTCTTTACCTACATCTTTCTTGGTAGTTTCAGTGGTAGATAGTTGCATTCTTCCTTTTCTGGATTGCAGCTCTTTCTCTGGTTTTAATGCTGCACTTTTTTTTTCCTTCTGTTTGTCTGTCTTGTGGCTCGTTACTCGCCTCGTTTCGCTTTGTGAAACTGTTGTTTTTCTCTGTGTTGTTTCCTTCTCAGGGAGCTGTTGCTTCTGCTTGACAGATTTGTGTTCAAACAGTCCAGATATATTCTTGGATGGGTCTTGACCTGACTGGAAGGCTTTCATCAGTTCACGAACCGACATGGTCTCTTCAAGTCTTTCCGTCTTAGAAGAAGGGGAAACAGGTGGCTGTGCTTTATGCGCTGCTGGCTTTTTCACTTGTGTCGGTCTTTTGGAAGCCTTCTCAGCAGTGCCTTCTCTGGTTTGAATTCTGATGGGCAGTTTTGACCGCACTTTTTGCTCATCTTCCACTCGTTTCTGAAGAGCTTTAACTTTGTCTTTGATTGAGCCAATAGGAGTTTCCTCTATAACAGGGGATACAGCTTTAGTCTCCAGAGCAGCTGTCAGCATTAGGCCAGGTTCCTCGCAGCCTTGTGACACCTCTGAAGTGAGCTTCATTAACCCTCGCTGTTCTTCACCACTGCGCATCTTGCCTTCCTTTTGCTTTGGCTTGTCTCTTAATTTTGTCCTAAGGGGCTTTTTAATTTCTAAGGCTGGCTTGTGTTGCTCCTGCAGACTTCGTGGTCCGGCTGTTGGAAATACTTGTCCTTTTTCAGAATCCCTGCTTATTACTACAGCTTCAAATCTCTTCTCTACCAAGTCTCCTTGTAAAGCTGGTGGCTGTACCTTATGAAGAGAAACGTCTTCTGAAAGGTAATCTACCATCCCTGTCACGTCTGCCTTCTCCATTTTTGTTGTCCCTTCATCTAGCCTGACTTCTACACATGTAGGTTCGGTGACTTCTGAAGGAGCATTTCTTCTGGCCTCTTCAATTTCTTCATCACTGACAATGACCCATTCTTCTTCTGAAAGTTCTTGTTTGGAAAGGGACTTCTGCAAAACATGTTCTTCTCTGGTATAGGATCCACCTCTCAGAATTTTATTTACTTTTTCTAAGTCTTCTTTCACTCTTTCAACTATTTCAAAAGGCTCTCCTGGCTCCTCCTCACTGGCTTTTCCAAGATCTTTCACTTTAATGGAGCCCGATTTATCAGAAGGGTCAGTTGTCAAGATGGCAGTCATTTTGATCAAATCTTGTTTCATCTCAGAAACTTCAGACAATAGGTCTGGACTGGCTAGTACAGGAACTTCATTAACCAGATGGCTTTTCAGGATAGATGTTTCTGTAGATTCTGTCTCGTCATCTTTGATGCGAATGAAAAACATTGAAAGTAAAATGGAAATCAAAAATAGAGATTGGAAAATGTAATCAGAACTGACTGAAAATGAGAATCTTTGGTTGCAGTGGTAGGAAGGTCAACAAAATGGGCCAGGAATGGTGGATCCACAAGATCTGAGGGTACAAGAGCAAAGCAAAGCTAATGGGGGGGAGGGGAGGAACCAAATAAAAAAAAAAAACAAACCAAAACAAAACTGAAAAGAAAAATGGCAGGAAATAACTTGCTTAACTTTATCAATATAGCACAATCACACATACATTACCAAAACTGTAACAAAACAAATCAGGACACCACTAAAAAAACCAAAAAGAACAACAGCAAAATTTAAAATGAAAACCAGAAGAAACACAGTGAAGTTACACAAAGATAGGCATCTCAAGATTGTTCAGATGTTACAGATCAATGTTCCAAAAAAAAAAAAAAAAAAGCAAGAAAATAGGGAGAAAGCATTAGACCTGATTGAAAGTCGATTTCCTCTAAGAGAAAGCCAGTGTTAGCAAACTGTCAGAATAACATTGGCTTAACATATTTTCTTTCTTAATAACAAAAAGTTAAAAATAATTCTACAGTAATCTAAATTATTATCAAATACGTAGAGATCTGAATCAGCTGCAAACCGGCATTTCATCTAAGGGGATTTCACACCTAAACAATGAAACAAACAAGTCTTTTGTATTAAGAGGCATGGTCCTTTCCTTGGAACATCCTCATTGACAACTAATGAATAGACTGAGGAAAGAGTAGACAGAGGAGAAAAGGAGAGATTGTAAGAAAAAACTGTGAATCAACTTAAAAGTGATTTCAGAGTTTTCAAAAATGGCATGTATGGCAACCAAAAATCAGAGACAGTCACACCAGACACATACGTACAACTCATGTAAGGCAAGTTATTTCCATGCAAAACAAAGGTGTTGCAAATGCTGCTGGGTATGTAGCTTCAGTTAAAAAACAATCTTTCTAAAATTAATCACATAAATTAAAGAAAATATTGTAAAATATACTGTGGTGAAATATTTGTCTGTGCAATCAATATACAGTCAGCTGAATGTAGGTAACTCCCATTATGCCATAGCTGCCTCATGAGAATATTTCATTTCAGGAAGGTCTGCTAGAAAATACTTATTGAACAGAATGAAATGCTGGAGGACTTAGGCAAATCATGAACAGAATGCAATGCTTAGAAATTATGATTGTATTTTTTTTTACTTCTAGTACATCACATGAAACTTGAGGCATTTCTGCACCCTACTCTGAATGTCAAAAGTAGTAATGCAGATATGAAGAACCTAAGCAATATGTAATTATTTGCATTTCTTTGTAAATAATATCAATTTTGCTACACTCTTGTGTTAAATATTTATGCTGTCTATTAATTATGACTGAATCGGTGGGGCTTTGCTACTTTAGCAATACATATTTTCATAGACGTCACATGGATGACAATCGCACTGGCCACAGAGTCAAGCAAAGAAGCTTCACAGGGAAATAAAAGGCAAGTACTATCTGAATGATGTGTGGCTGGCAGCAAGAATGCTCACTTGGTGTGATGAGGTTGGCCTCCCTCACATCTGCCCTGAAATATAGTGTGAAATATTCTAGCTTGCATAACGAAGCTGTTCATTCTGCCATGGAAGGTGAGTGCAGCACAACTGTCTCTCAATGTAAAAAGTGTTTGTTAATTATAACAAAAGGGAATGATGGTCCATTTGATCTTCAGGATCATGGCACTATGGTCCTTCCAGTTTAAATGTCAGTACACTGTGAATAAATAACCCTCAAAAGACAATGTAGATAAATGGGCAAGACATTGCATTTTAAACTAATAACAAGAAGTAATCAGTCTTTTCCTAACCAGATTTAAGAAATCACTGCTTTTGAAAACAGTTCTTTGTAGAGATGCTCTTCAGACCAAATTTATGTTGATGTGTATCTTCATTAATGGAGATCTCTGGCCTCATGCACCACTTGCCCTCAGTTTCCAATAATAATTATGGCCTGATTCTGTATTTACAAAAGGCATATATGCTGTACCAAACCTAACAGTCAACATTTCCAGTCGTATTTCACCACAGTAAAGGGTGGGGGAAGGGTTAAACAGACGGATTACTTTGGACAGTATCACTTTTTTTGCATGGTTGTATTTCATGAGTTTATGAAATTTATTAGAATACTAACTACATTTAAAAGTGATACTGTCATTTATCTCAAATGTGAGGCAACAATGTGTGTCAACAAATGGGCAAAACAAAAAAATGGAGGGAATGCGCATTCATACAAGCAAAAGAGCAATAGCAGGATCACTAGGGATGTCAAAGGAAAGTAAATGCTTAGATGAACTGTTTTGAACTGTATTACTCGTTAATTTATACCTTAAAGTGTATTTAATTGCATAGCTGCTTTGTTATTAAATTGTTCTCCATTACATTTTAAAAGTATTGATGTTATTTGCAACAGCAGTTAATGCTTAGCTCGCTTTCATGCTTATCTTTATCCTTAACCATCTTTCATACAAACTGCATTATAACATTTTTTAAAAAAGATAAAATCTTACTTTTTTCTGAAGTCATATCAACCTGGAAGAGCATAAAGGGAGAAATTTAAAAGTTCAAATATAAGTAATACATATGAAGTCACTAGTGAAGTAGTAGAGCTTGAGTCAAATCCGCTAGGTGTACGGAGGACCACAGATTCATTGACTTACTTAAATGGAACCACAATCAGATTAAAAGTAATGGTAAAGGCATGGCTTAATTTATTTAGTATTTCTATTAACAGAAAAATGGTTACTTTGCTATAGTTACAGTCAATAGCAGATGCAGAATTCTGCAATATATTCTCTTTAAATGCAAAAAACAGTAGAGAGGACGCAGACCTTTGAATTACTGGGTATGTTGTTGCTTTGCATTAGCTTATCTCTTCCTGTCTAAAGCAAAAGTGTCAAATATGGTCATGTGAAGGCAGATGTCCCATTGGAAGGCACCTAGTATGCTTTATGCATCGTTTCACTATACATGTTCATTCTGAAATCATGATTTGCATTTTCACCTCTGTAGTTTGTGATAATAAAAAGTGGGTGTAGAAATGACTGCAGCCTTGCTACTGCCTACAGCAAGAACTAAGACTCAGTGCCACTAACAGCTAATGATATCTGTAAATGGAAGCAGTGATGGCTCTCAGGCCATATTTCGGATTTTTCTGAGTGCATCTAGGTATAGATTGAAAAAGCCATACGATTTTACTGTTACTCAAAAGAAAACAGAGCACTTACCAAAAAAAAAAACCCCAAACAAACAAAAAGACCAAGCCAAAAAACAGTGTCAGACTAAAAATTCAAGAAGCAAATCTTTGAAGATACCTTGTAATTCCTCTAAAGTACAGAACACCCTAGATGGTAACCTAGTATCCTTAGGATACTTTAATTCCCTTTACTCTAAGTTTCTCCAAATCAATCTGGAATTATGTCAGCATACTAATTAATATTATTAACATAAAAATGAGTAACGTAAATAAAAAAAATTCAAATGGAAGATGGTTTTAGCCATCAATAATCTTGTGGGTTTGTGCTTTAGTTTCTCAGATTAAAATATAAGAAGTCACCGATGTCTGGAAAAATAATTTTCCAGTATCCTTTATGCTGCTTTAAGGAGCACTGATTAGTTAACAACTTTTGGAGACTTCCCTGGGGATGCAGAAACAGCATTATAGAGTATTAAAGGGCTAGTTTTGTGCTTTTGGTATGAAATCAAATGATAACCTGGTAAGAAATGCTACCTTCTGAATGAATACAATGAGAATTAGTTTAAAACTCCAATCCATGCCACAAAATTTCTGAGCTGTTTTGCAGTTCATAGAAAAATAGTCTGTCATCTTTGGGGAGCAGGCTATTCCCACAGAGCTGGCACTCATAATTTCCAGTAGCATAACATCTTCAAAATGTGGGGATGCTTTTCTAATGTTACTCATTCACACAGGGGTCAGACCTCAAGAAACATCTGTAACTGCCAGGACAGGGCTGGGAATGGAGAGGGGAGTTGGCCACGTGTCTCAAGATGCAAAGCAGTTTATGCTGAAGGTGCAGAGTTTATGAAAACTCTCCACCTTTTACTTGGAGTAAACTTGTAACTCTTTCTGTACTAGACTCAAAAATCTGTAAGACACAGTCCATTGTATGTTATAAATAGACAAGACTCGGGAATTTCTGCCCTTCCAGGTATGCAGGTAGGATATTCAATCACAATCTGGTCACAGACTCCCCATAGCAATGGGGAAGATGTCAGTGGAGATACTTGTTATATGTAGGTCTGTTCCTCCAGTGCTGATCTTCTTATCCACCACTAACTAGAGGAAGCATATTAAGACTGTGCTGAAGGGTATTAACAAAAAGTATACTATGCCAACAATCTACTAGTTCTGAATACTTTAGACAAGCCTAGTAGCAACCCTGCACTATTTTTAGGATGTGGAATGGTTCTTGGAATCAGAAGAAACAATCCCATTTCCCCTTTTCTGTGCTGCAGAAAATAAAGCTTAAAGACATATACTGTATGGCTTATTCTTGATCAAAATTATTTCTAAATTATTACAGAACTTTTTGAAAGCCAAATGAACTATTATAGACCTCCAAAATCAGTGCATCTGATGCAGTAAAACTTCAATTTTAATGCAGGGAAAGTTAAACCCTGTAAATTCCAAATTTGCACTTCTGAATGTACTCCTTCTCACTGTTTTTGTAGCACCGAGCTGACGATTGATATGCTCATTTCACTAGGGATTTTATCTTCCAGGCTGTACATGTTGTATTTTAGCAGTATGTGTAAGTAATGACGTACTATTACAGCAACATTACCTCTTCTTCTTGTTCTTGGTCTGATTCTGATTCCTTTCAGTTCCAAAATACCATGCAAAAAGAGAAGGGGAAAACAGAGCAGGCAAAATGAAAAAGTTCTAGATTAAGAGAGTAGGAAAACATAACTTCTGACAACATTTAAGAGAAAAGAAGGAAATGCAGTATGTTTCTGCAGTTGATTTCTTACATCAAAGAGCAGCAAAACTGAATTAACAGTTTAAAACACAAAGGCTACAGAATTGAGCAAATTACAACAGAAAGGTTGTTTCTGGGTGTTAAGACTTCTAGTGATCTTTCATACCACAACTTAATATATATATACGTGCTTCTGCATCCATAAATTAGCACAAATAAATACTTAAAATAGTTCCGAATGTTAGCCATTTAAAGTTAAAATATGTTGTGTTATTTTAAAATTATATAAAAATACTATCATAAAGATCATATTATGCACTAAAAATGAGAAGAAAAAATGAATAGCAGCAGGCAAGGTTTTGGGCAAACAGCCTAATACATTCCTAAAAGGCACGCAGCTAATCTGACAAGGACAGCAAAAAAAAAAATCTGAGTTAGCACAGAATAGCAATAAATTTACTTTTTCTAAGAAAACAAGCACTTCTTAATGTCTGATCTAGCTTAAATAGCAATCAAGCACCCTCCCATGATTTAGGAAAATTCAGCTGCTCTCATTCTTGTTATTTATAAATACTAACTCATGCTAGATTATTCCTCTCCATTTTCTCCCCTTGACCTTGGACCATTTTCTTCCCCAAGCACATTAATAACTTTTATAACAATATGCTTAAGAGAGCCTATTTACACCATGTGACACAGTCGTAGATTCTTGAAAGATTTGATCACAAGTAGGAAGAAAAGTCAGTGTCAGAAGTCAATGTAATATTAAAACCTATTCTAAGAAAATACTTTCAGCTGTCCTATAAACTTTCCAAATTCTAGAGTTCAAGTCTGCTACATTTTATTTCTATCACCGCAGATATACAAAGCAGTTAGCTAAAAACACTATTGCAAAGGCCAATTATTTCTAATTGGCAAATGAAAAAAATGACAAATAATTTCAGTCCTTCTGTACTTCATACCTGAAGAACATCGTGTGACCTACAGACTTTGTATAGTATAGTGACCTATACTCTGTAAGTATAAGGGGTAGTTTCATCTCCAGAGAGGTGTCACAAGACATGGTTATACAGTGTGGGAAGTCTCTTGTAAAATAAAACATGAACCTAGAGGTACTTGCTGAGTCCCAGGTCTGTCTGGGACTAAACAGAATTTTACCCTGAACAGAATCTGGGTAAAATTTTCAGGTGAAATAAGATTAGCACAGATCTAGTGCTAACACCAATGAAACCATAGGAGGTATGCAGCGCAAACTGGAACTTAGCTCCCTTTGGTCATTCGCTTCTGAGTCATCAGAAAACATTCAATAACATCTTTGAACACTGGCTCTAGAGTACCAAACCCAAAAAACTGAAAGGCCTTGGGTGGTATTGATGCTTCTTTAAAATCCCTGACTACAAAGCCTTAATAATATTTTGCCCTCCTACTCATTTCTTGTTTATATTATAATGCTGATGACTACGGAGCAGTATAATTTCACAGTACCTTTGTGTAAATGGGTAAAGTGATGTTTAAATTGCATATGGCTTGATGAACAAGGCCTCTTGTTGATTTTGGCTCCTTCATGAATGATAATCGTCCACAGGGTTCTTGTGTGGTGTCTCGCACCTGGTAGAGAACAGACATTTCATCTGTCATTTTGCTATTTTGCAATAGGATTTGCTTGTGCCACTAAAAATTATTTAGCAGAAAGAAGCTAGGTGTGGGAGAAAAAGTCCATGTAGGGAAAAATAATGTGTTTCCTCTGACACCCCTCACCCCCCCCTTAAAATTTCTTTTGTTACAAAAAATTTTGTCCAATGTATTGATAAATCCTAGTCTTAGAATGAAAAAAATTGATGGAACATATTTATAGGTGTGATGATTATTATCCACAAAAGATACCACATCGTGGCATACTTTAAAATCTTTTTCATAGTTGTTAGTAGAAAAAAGTGTAAGCACTTGGAACTTAGGGTACTGGAGATGTACTTTTAGCTTTTGTACATAATGTCAGGAGGATTACATGTGGTATCATGGCAGCAATATGACTGAAAGCATTAGTCCATTCTTCATTTTCTGAGCTAATAAAATTATACAGTTAGATACATGTGCATTTACTTAATCAGACTAAAAATACTAGATGCAAATACACACATGGTTTCAAACCTCTTTTGGAAAAAGCCATCAGAGAGAAAAATACTCAAAGGCAAAGGTGGCTGGGTGGCAGCAGCACTCTGCTGGTAGCACAGACCACAGCAAGAGCACTTTTTTCTGTGACTTACAGTTCCTGCAGATCTCACGAAAAATGCAAGATGAGCCCCACCCACTGTGACATTTGTGTCACGGGCTCTGTAGCACTAGTTCACTTTCGATGAATGGGGGGTTTTTGGCTTGACTTTTAACAAACTTCCCTACTCACAGAAGAGTTCCTAAAGTGGTACAGTTCAGTAATATACCCTAAAGGGATAAAATGAGGTTACAGTTGGGAATTCAGCAAAATTAATTACTTCCTTTTTCCTTTGTTCTCAAAAATATGGTAAAACCATAACTTGAAATCTTCAAAAAGGAGCCATGCTTTTCCTACTGCACCCCCAAAGATGTCTGCATTGCTGCTGAAGGGAGGATAACTGGTTGAAGAACAGTTATACCTGTATTTACAGCCATATTCATATTTGTAAGCAAAGGGTACAAAAATCCCATTTCGATAGATTTCTGCCATTTCTACAATGTTTTCTGACACTTTTTTGCATTTGACATGTTTTCCTGCAACATCCTGAACTGTGATACAGAAAACCAAACAGGATTGAGGTCAATGGCTCTTTAGATTATTAGGTAAAGAACAGGATTCCTAGAAGAACCATTTTGGTGTCTGAAAGAATGCTGTGGACTCTAGCTATCTATAGTAGAACAGAGGCACAGATCATTATATTTAGAGAAAAAAAATCTACATTTTATATAGCCACTTCTGGTGGGTTTGACTAGCCAAGTCAACATTTAATCCATTATTATAAAGTACTTTGGGACTGTTCTTCAGTCTGCTAAATTTACTCTGAACTCAGAAAATAAAAATACAATCCATAGCCCGTATTGTAACATTACCTTAACAAACAGAGGAAGTCTATTTTCCTTAAAGGCAAAAAAACTGAATATATGATGTTGCCCACTTTTTGTTAGTGGCACCAAATTGCCAAAGCAGTCAACATAGATGGGTTTTCCTTCTAATACCTATTGAATGCAAAAAAGAAGCAAAACAGCAATTAATTGCAGTGAGGTGGTTAGGATTTCTTCTTAAGCATAATTCTACAGTAGTTTCAACCAATTTCTTAAATTGCTAGGACTTGTCATCACTTACAAGGTTTGTTATGTACAGTTATCTAAAATCTGTGAAAATATTTCAGATTATTAAATTCCAAATGGAATACACTGTAAATTTAATAACAGCGTGACACTATAAGTGAGTGTTCAGTGTCATGAATCTAGCCAAATTCTCAATCTATATTTCAATATGGATTTTTTTACTGGCTATCGTTTTAGTATACTTTGTTCACCTGGTGTTATCATAACAGTCAAATAAATATTTTCTTCAGCAAACAAATCAAAAGTCCTTGCTTTGCCTGGCAGGATAATAAGCCAGCCAGGAATTATCATGAAGTTGCAGAGGACCTTTTTACCAGTGCAAAAGCTTTCTAAATTACATTACCTGTGTGTTTAATCTACTTGTAATAGCTTGTTGCAGCAGGGAAAAACAGTACATATGAGCAGATTCTATTTATTTCAGCTGGATTTGTAAAGGCTTTTGATAGCCTTTGAGCTTTTGAAAGTCAAGCCTCAGGTACATGCCTCTCTGAAATGCCTATATAATGATACTGCCTACCTCTTTGGATTGCTGTTGATATGGTCCCTCCATACATTTAAATCTCAGCTTACCACATTTGGAGGTACTCCCTTCAAACTGCCAATACATTAACATCACATCCTTACTTCCCAGAAATTCAGCTTGTCATTCAGTTTTATAAGCCCACACTTTATCTATCTGGTCTGCACAAGAAATGCCCGTCAGGGCTTCAGGAACAGCAAGGACAAAGTTTTTTAAAGGTGGGATTCTCATTCACTAAGCAGAAGAATATGCTATGCATGTAGTTAAGCACTTTCAATTTGTTATCCCTCCTGAGAAAGGTGATTGAGCAAGAAAATTGGCATTTAGCAGGCATGTTACTGGTTTCCACAAAGGAAAGCTTTTGCCTGTCCATCAAAGTAAAGCAGAATATTAATCAAACCTGCTAGTTAAACTTCCTGGCAAGCAAAGATGCTGACAAAATGTGACTACTGTTGACTGCCTTTTTGGTTAGTGATACCCACTTACGGAGCTATTGTAAGTTGAGATTTACCTGCCCTTTTCGGCTTTGACTATCTTCCCTTTTTTCACAATAGCCACTTAGTATCAGGTCAAGAATGTAACAGTTCAGCAAAGACCACCCTCAAAATTCATCTTTTACTCAGACATTCCTCTAAGAGGAAGTAACTGAAAAATTCAAGGTATCTCCTGGCAGTTTGATATAGAGCTAATTAAAACTAAGTAATCACAAGAAATAACTATGAGCTATTTGGATTGAACTAGAGCTAGCCTGCATCAATAGAACTTAGTTTTAGGCTAACTGAGGGAAAAGTGTGTCTACGACCCCTATTCACTACCTCTCAGCTCCCTGTTGAGTGACTTCAGTCTTTAGTCTTTTAGTACACCTAAAAACCCCAGTGAAGCTAACAAAATTCTTACAGACTACTGCATTTTGTTTAATAAGAGCCATGGGCAATGCTTCCTGCTTGCATAACCAGCCGTTTCAAACAGATTTCATAATACTTAGGTGGCAGTAGCTGTCTTAGTTCAGAATCTTAAAGAAATGCTGACCCTGACATCAGATAAATGGATGACAAAAAGCCTGAAACTGCTGGACTAAGTGGTAACTCCCAACTTCATTTTATTACCTGATTTCCTAGCATAAAGTCAGTCTAGTTTCTCAATACACAATTTAAGAGGTCCACCATGAAAATGTATCTTGGAAAAACAAATTGTTTCTATTTTGTCCTATAGCTTTTCTAAGCTTTAGTCCTGGAACAGAGAGCTCAGACTCAACCAATTCTATATTTACTGTCTATCTCCTTGAATCCAGCTTTAGGTTGCAGTCAGCTGAACATAGCTAACCCTCCCACTAGCCCTGTGGACTAAGATATCAGCAAGTGCTCATCGGGAATGGAATTTCATAATTTCTCTGGCAGCTACTTTTCCCTTACATCTAACAAAAGTCAGAGTTTCCATCTTACCATGTCATGTTACTGCATCACAATGGTATTTGTTGGCACTACTATTTTTCAGGACTTGTTGCAGATAAGGTGGCAGAAGAAAACACACATTAGAAAATGGAGAAAACTGTTTAAGATCCTTGTACAGTACCTCTACATCCCTGCTCCTGGCAACTTCAGCAAAATTTTCTTGTTGTTCTAGAGTTTTATCCACCTTGTCATCTGTCATGCAAAAACATCTTAACCGTGCTTCAATAGGATCATGTGATTTGGCAAACACCACAAATTTGGCCATGTACGGGACACAAATAATCTCTCTGTACACTTGTGAAGCAAAAGTAACAGATTCTTGTGTCTGTCGACAGTCTATTAACCAAAATCTGTAAAAGAAAATAAACAGTTGTGTTTATCAGCACACAATGATTTAAGCAAGAAGATTACGTTTTCACATCTTGGCAGCATTAGCTGGTAATGATACCAATCTTTTATAAGTTAGAATAAAGTGGAAAAAGTAGTTACCATTTGGGAAGAATAGCTTAAAAAGGCTCATGGTACCCCCTATGTATTTAGGAGCATGAATCAAAATCAACATGGAAAAAATATCAGATGCAGACCCTTCAATAGGGTCTCCTGATGCACAAACTCCATGCCACTGCTTGCCTTTCTGTCAAGTTCTCACTTGGCTGGAAACTTTTTAGCTTCCAGAAACATGACTGGCTTTTAAAGGATTTCAGGGGTTCACTTGTCCTGTGGCAGTCTCACAAACCTTACCTGAAGATTTACATATATGAATCTTTTCATATTTTTGTGTTTAGAAAATATATTACATTTATGTTTCTAATATTTAAATAGTCACTGATGGCTTACCAAAACCAAGAAATCCCAGAAATCATCACAATATTCAAAAAATGTTTTCCTTTTTCTATTTGGAGGTTGGCTGTGGCATACACTTTGTTTTAATCTGAATTGATTCCTAATAGTGAGAATATGTGATCAAATGTTTCCTGCCTTTTACAAAACAATTAAATCTCTTCTAGAATAAGTTCAGTGGTCTCTGCTTTCCATCTCTTTGGACAGTCTCTGATGATGTTTGAAATGATGATTACTCTTATCACTATCCTTCTAGAGCTGCCTAAAAGGTCTTTGAATTTGTTCTTCTTTATCAAATGTCATTATTTAATTTTCATGCATATAAGTAGAGAAGGGTGTAGTGGAAGTGTACAGTTCAGATTTCCCACTAACTGTGACTCTGCAATACGTGCCTTTTACCTAGAGAAATACAGGCTCTTTTTGACAGCTGCTTGCTGACAAACATCTGATGATGAAGAGAGTAATGCCCCGTAATTGCTTGTATCTAGTCATATGCTGAGGCTGTCATTTCTCTTCAAGGTTCTGACTACACTTAAGCTACAGAGTCGGCATCGCATCCCTTTCTCTTTAGCCTCCTGGAATCTTCCCAAGCATTGAACAATTTCCTGTTTGTTCAGTGCTGGACACATCAGGATACAACACATGGGTGTTAGTGAAATGTATACAAACTTCTGATGTAGCAGGAATGTGTGAAAGTTTCCTGGATTTTATGGATGAGGAGCAGGAGACTGAAACAGCTTTTGGTATGTGTTGCTTACCCTTCAATCTGTTCTCCATCTCTAACAGGTGAAATACAAAGCTGCCTTGCCCCAAACACTTGTTTGTCTTCTACCATCTAGCTTAAAGGTTAACAGTACATTTCTTATGCACAATATAAAAATTGAGTGTCTTTAGGACATTGTAAATGATTTTGTAACACTGTATGCAAAATCAGAAATTATATGAGTTTAGTCAGGGACTTTTAACTTTGATTTTGTAAGTTTTTTTGTTATGCATATTGAAGACCAGCAATATATATATAATCATAGAATCACCTGAGTTGGAAAAGACCTTTAAGATCACCAAGTTCAACCATTACCCCAGCACTGCCAAGGCCACCACTAAACCATGTCACTGAGGGCCTCATCTACATGATTTCTGAACACCCAGGGACAGTGATTCCAAACTGCCCTGGGGAGCCTGTTCCAATGCCTGATCACCTGATCACCCTTTCAGTGAAGAAATTGTTCCTAACATCTAATCTAGATCTCCCCTGGTGCAGCTTGAGGCCATTTGATCTTGTCCTGTCACTTGTTACTTGTGAGAAGAAACCAACTCCCACCTCACGACAACCTCCTTTCAGGTAGTTGTGGAGAGCGATAAGGTCCCCCCTGAGTCTTTTCTTCTCCAGACTAAACCCACCTAGGTCCCTCAGCTGTTCCTCACCAGACTTGTGCTCCATACCCTTCATCAATGCCACTGCCCTTCTATGGACCTACTACAGAACCTCAATGTCCTTATTGTAGAGAAGGGCCCAGAACTGAACGCAGGATACAAGGTGCAGCCTTGCCAGTGCCGAGTACAGGAAGAAAACATATATATTTCTGTATCTAAGCCATATTATATTTTGAAGACCCGAAAGCAGATGTGTCCACATCTGATTCCTACTACCCTTGCCTCACAGAGTTATGTTCATCACTGACTCACTTTTCATTGTAACATATTGTTTTACATCTAACATATTGTTTTACCAACTAAACTGTTTTACATCTAACATATTGTTTTACATCTAACATATTGTTTTACCAACAGCATCTTTCTAATGCATACACTGTGGATCCCAGTCTGTGATACATGTACAAGACAAACAAACATGTTCAAAGCAATGGGGAAACATTCCTGGAATAAATTGCTCTGCACCGTGTGAAGCCAGGAGCTGCTACTACTATTTCATTTAGGTACCACCATGACAGAGAAGTACTTTAAGATTACAGGGTAAGGTCATAAATTGTCTGAGTTCACTAATATAATTCTTACAAATGAGCATCTGCCTCTTACAAAGTATTGCCAGTGCATGTGAACTGGAACAAGCCACCTCAGAATTGTCAAACATACACAGTTACTTAAGACATACCATGGATGTTGCAATGCAGGCTAGAACTTCAGCTCCCAGGACAGGTCCTTTTCTACCAAAAACTACCTTTCTGTTTACTGAAAAGTACAGGTTCTTTAGCTTTTCTTTATGCTATTCAACCCAGGACAACCCTGCCCACTAATACCCATTTACAGATTTTCCCTATACCTTTGTCAAGAAAACTGACTTGTTATTTTGCAAAGATAACAACCTTTCACTAAAATAATTTTACTTCTCCTCCCAAAATGTAACAGTGAAAACGCACCAAGCATTTTACAAGGAGTAACATGCATTGCCTTCTTTCTCAGGTATCATTTAATTTATTTTCTCTGTGGAGCTGATGACATTTCTTTTAAATAAAATTCACTGTGTGGGTGGAAAGCATGCATGAGTTTGAAACCCGTAGGATGGAGATGGAAGTAAGATATTTGTAACCATTTGCTAGACTAAAAACACTAAATGTAATACTTTCCAGGTCATGGACTGCAGCTCCTAATACAAAGGAAGAGACTTCTGAGCATTTCTGTGATATCAATCACCCACAGAGTCCAAACTAAAATACATATATATATATAGATATAATTTTTTATATGAAATTCTGTTTGCAGAAAGACAGCAGTTGAACTTCATCACTAGAGCAGACGGTTAGAAGAGATTTTACAGGCTTTTCTTATTTGTAGGATATTCTGGAAGTAACATCTTTTCTAAGATGAATGCTGAACTACCCAAATAAGGGATTTCTGTTTCCATGGAAATTTGAGTATTTCTGCATCAGGGAGACAAGTGGCATTCAAAAGGAAACCATATTTTTTTTTCTAGCTACCTGAAAATTGAACTGTCCCTCATCAGGGACTGTAACAATAGCACACAGGGTAATGGGTTTAAACTGAAACGGGAAGGTCACGTTAGATACAAGGAAGAAGTTCTTTACTCTGAGGGTGGTGAGGCACTGGAACAGATTGTCCAAAGAAGTTCTGAATGCTCCATCCCTGGCAGTGTTCAAGGTCAGAGCACCTTCGGGGACATTGACTAGTGTGAGATATCCCTGCCCATGTCAGGGAGGTGGAACTGGATGATCTTAAGATCCTTTCCAACCCAAACCATTCTATGATCCTGTGATTACTATTTCAAAATGAAATGAGTATGTCATTTCTAGGATCATGGCAGGTGGTGACCAATAGCTGAGATAACTAAGATACCATTTTCTTTCCGCAGCCAGTAAGGACTGCACAGCTCTGGTATGTAATCTCTCTGGGCTAGGAGGCTACAAAATACCTTGCCAATTGGTTCACAACATAAACAAAGGATTTATGTTCCTTCTACTACATCAACTGAAATAGATTAAAGGAAGTACTTGCTGGGGAAAGAAAAAAAAAGAAAAAGATATACACTTGAAAGTTAAGACTATAAAACTCATATTTTGATGCATAGGTACCTGGCAGACACATTCGTTGTGAAGGAAACACATTCATTAACAAATGTCAGTGGTGTTGTTCCAGTGATGTCTTCCCACTGGGCAGGGGTGGTTCCTCCTGAAATGAGATTAAAATGATTAAAAAATCAAAATGTTAAATCAAAGCCCAGCAAGTCTGCAACCTTCTTGCTTCTAAAAATATTTTATATTCTTCTGAGTTTTTAATTGTTAGGAAACCAGAAATAAGCCCAGATGTGCCTTCTCCTCAGGTCCATGTTATTCTGCTAATGCTAATAGGATCATATAGGATTCCCCTAAGAAAACAAAGCTCGCAAATGATTTTCAAATGTGTCTTGCAGAACAGTTCCAGAAACATTAGAAGGCTGAATTTAGGGGTAGAGATGTCATTTTAGAAATTACTTTTGCTTGTTCTAAACTCTTCAAACTGCAGGGCAAAATTGGCCCAGATATAATGCAGACTCCTTTTTGAAGTTTTCTAGAGGATCCTTGCAGATTTACTCTCCCCCCAAGAAATGTACTCAAACGCCTCTGTATTGAGACCATTCCTCTCTATTTAAATGCAAATACTTTTTTGAGGGTGACATGTTGTATTTCAGCAGCTACCTAACATCTTAAAAAAGCAGAAAATTGTAAAGGCATGGGTTCTCTGGAATGACTCATGCCATATTTCAGTGTGTAATGTATCTTATGTTGGGTCAGTATTCAAAATCAGTTTGAAAATTAAGAAAGATGCTAACTTCTAAACAGAATAAATGTATGCAGCTCATTTCCGCCTTTTAACTGAGTATGAGACGCTCATCACTCTGGAGTTACAGCAAGTACAAAGTGTTTAACTCCACTATTTTCCTTGAAGCATACTGCAACATTATGTCTGCATTACACTTACACTGTTAGGCAGAGGTATGTTGGTTTTCAAGAAACAAACTGTGAGGAAAATGCAAAAAACCCAAGGCCAAAATCTATGATTATATTACACATCTCTTGTTAGTCAAAACAACAAATGTTATTTCTGCTATAAAGGAATTGTTTGGAAAGTAATTTATTTTCACAGGCTCTCAACCCAGTCACATTTTCACCAAGATTTCCATGTGTACCATCAGTGTAATATATTCAGCCCACAATGACTGACAATTTAAAGATGCAGATAAAAACCTCTACTATTTGCATCCTACCTGTTATGCTGCATAGTAGCCTTAAAGTAGGTGTGTCACCTCCATAACCATTCATGATCCCATCACTGGAGGCCTTGGGGATGGGAATGGTCATTGTGATGGGTTTATGGAACTTCCTTCTCCTGGGCTCCAGCGTGACTATAGGACTGAAGGTAGCCTTGTTGCCTAAAATCTTCTTCATAAGTTCGGTATGCATAGGTTGAGCCTTTCAAAAACAAAAGGCAATAATAGAATAGGTATTTGAAAACAGTTTAGTGAGTATGTAAAGAACCGAGTCTGTATATTGCCACTAAACCCTTAAGCTTTTACACTAAATGGCACCATTTCCCTTGAAAATCCGCAGCCAGAATAACTGACTGCCAGCGAGGGCAGACCTCCCTTTCTCAACTTTCCCATGCCTCCCTCCTCTTCCTATCCCCTTTCTTGGTGCTTCTCAGACCCTTTACAGTATTAATTTAATTCACTTAACCAGTAGCAAATGAAGTCCTTGTCACCTTTGGGGTTTTTATCCACCTTAGAACAAGCTCTGAGCTATTTTAATTATTCAACTATTCATAGGGGATTTCAGCAAGGACAGTCTCCTGGCCAAGGTAAGCTGTGGTTGTGGCCAGCAGGAGTTGGGGATGGAGGTAGGAGAAAAATTTCCCTCTCCTTTAGTAATTAACTGCTAGCCTGCTTTACTTCATGCTGAGAATCTGCAGATTTGACCCAATTATTACACCACCTTGTACTTCTCTGATGGCTTTCATAAGAAGCATCTAAGAAATTATTCTATGACCTGTTACGTTAATATCATCATCAACTAAATTTGGTGCTGTTCCCAAGATCATATAGACAGTTAACAGACAGGAATATCCAAAGCTTTGGCTGTTGAATAAAATTCTTTGTATTATTATTTTTACTAGAAGCATTCTAGAGAACAACCTACAACATCATAAGCTGAAAAAGCTGGATCTCCATTCTGAAAAGGTGATTTCACATGGGGAAAAAAAGTAAAAAAAAGGAAAGAAAAAAGAAAGAAAAATACACCCTGTAGTTGTTTCTCTGTACCTGAAGGCCAACGCGAATTCTTTTGGTGAGAGCCCCTTCTGGGAAGACTGCCTGCACTTGTGGTACAACAGTGCTGCTTAGCACACCGCCCTCTGGTCCAATGAGGTTACTGTCCTGTTTGATCCGAGATACCACTGCAAAGTACTGAGGGAAATCTCGGGTGACGATGCGGCAAATACGTTTCTTCTCAAGCTCCTCTGGGGTATCAAGTACTGAGGCCAAAAGAGAAGATGGTCAGAAGACAAGAGTTTTGTACAAACACAGTATATTTCAAAGTGCATTCAAGCTTTTCACAGTTTAACTGCAACTTATGAAAGTATTTTGTCTAGAAATCAAAGGGGAAAAGGAAACATACCCCAGTATTTTAAGTTCAGATAAAACAGAGAAATCAAGAAAGGAACAGACTAACAGAACTAACTGAAGGGAGCTTAAGACAGCACTCAAAACATTCTGACAAAATCCCCCAAATTGGTAGGCAAGCAAGCAAAGGGATTGGTCCAAGCCCCTTTCTACTTCAAGTGTTTACACCATGATCTGGAGTAGCGTCAAGTAAACCAAACTCCAAATGAAAAAAGTACCGAAGTCTGAGTTCAGCTCTAAGCACTGAGTTGGCTGGTTTACTTTTGGAACTTTTTTTGTTAAAAAACCCCCATCAATACTAGTAACAAATTCTGCAGATCCTAGACAGCCCAAGGCCATTCTGTTCCCTCCAAAAGCAAGAGTACACATCTAGCTGTTTGGTAAGGATTAGTATGATAATTGACTTATTTTAGAAAGATGTTTGTTATGGAAGCTTTTTGTTCAACACTAAGAAAAGAAGCAGTAAAAAACGTTAAGTGTAGCATCTATTCTCAACTTCATGATGGTGGATTCTGTTTTGTCCCACTACTTCAGCAGAGCACGCAAGGGAAGCATAAGCATGCAGCGCACCTGCTGGCTTCTATATTGAAAACATGATTACGCTCTAGTGTGACTGAAATGAAGCATCTGGAGAATGCAGTGTCAGAAATACTAAAGTGGTCCAAACATGAGGTGTTAAAGTAGAATAAATGGTAGGAGGCTATGACCCTCAGTTACAGAAGAAATGTGGAAGCAGAAGAAAAAAGTCACACTGGGTACCTTCATCCATCCCATTCAAGATTTCGTTCAGTTCATCTTCAGTGTATTCACAGAAGTGCTCCTTCCAGCTGTCCCCATTCTCACTGCGCAGGATCACCAGCTCTCGCTCTCTCCCACGCAGAGCAGCAAAATGGGGAATCTCCACAATCACAGGCCTGGCACAGCAACACAGCACATTAAATGCACATGGGAGAGAGGAAGAAACAGGATTAACAGCCACTCTATTCAGTCTGCCACAAAGTGACCTGGAATTCTACCTGTTTAGCTGGAACGCTTCTGTATAATCCTAAATGAGTAGGTCACTAACACATACTAGATTTTTACAGGGACCCAGTAAATGTTGAAGGACAGATTAAAAAGTGCATTCACCTCTTTCCACAGTGTGAATGATATCTGGTAAAACAATTAACAGGAAATTTAGTAATTGTTTTGAAAAATCATAGAAAAACTCATGCTCATTTTAGTTGTCACTACTGTCTGGGTTAACATGTGCAACTTCATTTCAAAGAGAATCTACTGTAATGTATATCAACAGTGGGACAAATTCTGATCTCACTTATGCTAGTACAATTCAGAATAATTCTTTGCAACTGGTGGCCTATTGTATTATGTGCCAATTTTACTTCTACATATTATAATGAATTTATTCCTGATTTACACTCTGGGAAAGATAAAGGAGGTCTGAGGAGATTATCTGGGTTTCTATTTCAGTATAGGAGAAAAGAATTAGCCTTGTTGCCTCACAGGCAGATGTCAATATATGTATCAGTGTATGTGCCACATATATACAACACCTGCATGTATATCTAGATCTGTATATACATATGTACTCTTAGAAATAAGAGAGAAAATACAAATATATTTGTATATACACTTCTCTAATTAGAGGACTTCCACAGGTTACCATGTACATAGTAAATGCCATGTGTTCTATTATGCTGGTGCTATCCAACATATAAGCAGATAAAAAAAAAAATTTAAATTTACAGTAGATTCTTTTTTTCTGTCCCGATCCAGGTTGCTTTGCTACAGACACCAAGCATGTAACTAGGAAGATTTCATGCCAAAACAAAAATGAAGGCCACAGTACTTGAAGAAAAAGATACAAACATACCACCAAAACAAAACCACATATCACAAGGGTTGAAAAATGGTCCACTAAGGGTTAGGTATACAAAATTGCAAATGATAGAAAGAGACAATATCATGGGCATAATGACATAAAAAAATCATATTGCAGAAGGAGGAGGAGAATGGGGAGGTCAGCGTCCATCAATTTGTTTCATCTCTCCTACCCAAGGAATTTGGTCCCAGGAGGCCCCAGCTGAAGGATTCGGCTGACCAAGCTTTCTCCCTCATTAAGTGGGGGAGGAGCCGTAGGCAGATGAAGTTTACTGAGTACATCCAAAGCAGCAGTGAAAGAAAGAACATAAATAAGCTTTATGTATTTTTTGTGCCAGAATGCCAGTGCCACCCATCTGGTCCACAGAGTGGAATTAGGCTGTACACTGAATACAGTTTCATCCTAGTGATGACAATTTGGTGATGAGCAAAACCAGTTTCCTTGATTTAGGATATTTCTTGCTTATGGGAAGGCAAAGGAAGTTTTGGCAGTGAACTCAATGGGAACAGAATTCAGACTTTAGAAAGCATCTCTGTAAATGGTACAGTAATTTTCTGATTTCACTGCCAGCACATCTAGAAAAACTCTTGCAGGAAGGTCACAGAGATCTGAGAATGAATAAAACTAGGCTATGTCTTTCAGGTGAAACATTCTCATCAGGCAGAAGAACCATTAAAAATAAAATGGGAAACACTCTTTAAGATCAATTTGTGTGTGATAAAGATAATGGTAATACTAAAAGGGACATCACAATATTTCTTCTGCTCTTCTTTCTTTCTACTTCTCTTTAAAAATGAGCTGGTGGTATAAAGCATCCAATTAATAGCTTGTTTGCTGTTGCTTGTGATATTAAGAGCTAGCCTGTATCTCAAAAGGAATGGTTGGCTTGCTCTTAGCATCACACTTGCAGTGTATTAGAATTGCTCTTGCTTTTTAACCAGATTACAGGAATAGTGAAACAACCAGAAGATGTCTTGGGTATGTTCTCCTTTCACACTCCATAGAAATGCAGTGGGCAGTTAAAAGCAACCAATCACCTACTTTCTCTCCCTCAGCTCAGTCTGTTAGCAAAAGCACTAACGAAGGTAGCAGCTCTGATGACTGCCCATTATAATACGATTTTAAAGCAGCTGATTTGTTCCTAAATGGACTGTAACTGTTCCTGTTTACAGAGTCACTTTCTTTTACAATTCCTGAATGAAACTGTTTATTGTAATAGAAGGGGTTCCTTCAATCATCCACTTTTGGATGAAACAGTTGATAGGGGGAACAGTTGGTAAAACAAAGCGTGGAGAACTGCTGCTTTCAGCTGAAAATCCCTACGACAAGCTCAGCAGCAGCCACAAATCTCATCTTTCTATGGGGTTTGTAGCATAGGACAAAAAAGACAGCCAAAATCTTCCAGGGTTGTCCCATTGCTTAATTTAGCAATTTCAACCCCAGAAAAATCAAAGGCACTGTGCTTCCCTGATAGGCCAAGTTACTGGTTACACAACACAAGTCTCTAAAACACGCAGCAGTAACTTGTGTTGCACATGTAGCAGGCTTTACATTTGGGCTTTAGATCAGTGCTGTGCTAGTCATGCCTTAGATGCAGATTATTTCCTGGCTGCAGAGGGTCCTTTCCCACTATAATACCACAACACCGAGTAATAGTTCTATGCAAGGAAGCACAGTGATCTTAGTGCTAGTGGTTAAAATACCTGTTTTCAAAGGAAAAGGCATAAAAGCTTTCTGAATTGTCAACAAACAACTGATTTGTATTTCACACAGCCGGTCTGTTACCATATGTTATAAGCATCTTTTCTAATAAATGAACCATTTCAGTGCAACTTGCAAACAGACAAAAAATAGACCAAACATTTTCCATTAGGCCAGATGACAGCCCTTACCCAAGAAACTGAGCACCAGAAGGTCCCACTTCTATCAAGCGGCTGGCCAGACCTTCACCTTCCACCATAGGAGGCATGGTGGCCAGTCTGTGACGTTTCACCAACCGGCAAGTCACTCGTGTTGGAGCAGTGCATTTCCGTGGAGGTATAATGATTCGGAGTCCGTTGTGTCTGCAGCCTCTCATGGCACCCCCACGAGCATCTACCATGAAACTAACTAGGAAGCTGAAAAATCAGGGGGAAGAAAATGAGATACAAGCCATATCGAAGTGCCTTTGGTTACGTTCCACATATGTAACAAACTACGTATGTGCATATCGCTCTTTCTCAAGATGTACAATTTGAAAAAGACATTCTCCCATGTGAAGCACCAAATCATGCTAAGATCATTTATTAGTTAAACTAACATCTGCTATCTAAGAGTTCTTCACAGAAAGTCATATTTTAAAGTGCTGCTGCTGGGAAAAATACCAGCAGTCACTAATAAATGTGAGTGCATGTGTCTCTACCCATTAGAGACAAAGTCAACTGCAAATATCACTACTCTGTACCTGCATGCATCTCCACTGTAAATCTAGCACTCTTTAGTTATCTTACTGAAGAATATTATTTATGACTTATGGATATAAAGCCAATTCTGACTGGAGGGACTGTTGGGGTTTGGGGCGATTTTAAGATATCTATATGATCTTCTAGTTATTTGCTAAACTATAATTTCTAACAAAAAATGGGTTTGGATTTAAAAGAAAAATTCATTACGGAGCATGTGGATACAATTCATATTACATGAGTGGAGCTAGCACCTATTTATGTAAAAACCCAACACATCCTTACTGTTTGAGGGAAAATGTGGGATTCTGGTGACATGACAATACCTGCAGTCGCTATATAAGAAGTTCATTTATGGATTTTTGCCTTTCTGCATTACTTTCCACAGCAATATAATGCCCCAGTGGAAAACTTACAGATGCAGAAAACTATCTTTAGAGAGCTCTCTTATTTCTTTCTTTTTCTTTAAAAGGGAGAAAAACATTTCATGAAATTTCTTTTGTCCTGAACTTTTAATAGTGCCATATATAACCAACAGGTATATTTTGACAGGTTTGTTACAAAGGCTTGGGACATTCTTGGGAAAGGTGTAGAACTACTTCTATTTCTTTTATTATTTTTTTTTAGCTGATTTATGACTTAGGATCATGCCTGATGTGGGATGGGAATGCCAGTTTGCTGGAAGTGAAAATAAGAGTAGATAAGACAGAATGGTACCAGGCCTACTTCTAGCCACTAAAATAGAATCATCACATTAGGAGTCGCAGAAATGCTACTGAAGAACCTGCAATAGAGAAAAGCCCTTATAACATGAGTAACAAATACAGGTATTTTTCCACTGTTCCCTTGACTGTTCTGTGCAACAAACATTGCATCCATTTCTTGTCCACACAGCTACAAGTAATTTCACATGCTGTAAAAACACAACACTCAACACACCATGCAAATCAGAAAAATGGGTGATGGAAAGGAGCCACAAGCGCCAGTCAGAAGCACACCATGCACCATGGATGCCAGTCTTTCTCACGCATGCAGTCTCCTATTCTACTGCCATTCATATACCTCTAGGTTTTGTTTAGTGTAAAAGTCTGGGTAGTACAACCTTTATCTCATTCCTTAGAGGTTGGTGTTTCTGTGGTTTTAACAAGGGGGGGGGGGGAGGGGGGGGAAGAAAATGAAACCATTTTACAGCTTTGATTCTCTGGGGATTATCTGAGAGCTTGGAAGCTTCCTTCACAAAACACACACTTTATACATACTAAAGCACAGATGAAAGAAGAGCTTAAGAGATACTAAATGCTCAATTGTTGCAATAATACTGTAGCTTTATCAAAGCGGTTCTGAATTACATTTTGGAGAATCAGTCCAAGTCTCTATTATGATGGATGCATTTAGAGGTAGTTATGAACACTGAGTGCTGGAAGAAGAGTTTCACATTTTGATGCTAATACTAGCAGCAAGAGAAAAAACACCCCCACAATTACCCAAACCTAACAAGTGCACTTACTGAATTAAATTAGCATTCACATTTTTCATTGTGTAAGTTGTCATGAATACAATTTTTATGATTCAGTTATTTTCATTATTGACATACTACTCAAGATTGCATACTTTAACAACTGAATAGCCTTCTTTTGCCGCCCATCACTGAAATATTACTGTAGGTCATCTATCTGTCTCATGTCCTCCTTAGCTATTTCCCCATGTGTTTCAGCAATGCCAAAACCATGGTTAACTGCTAGAAGAATACACAGACACAAAAGGTAAGGGTCCAAATCAAATAATCCCCCTATCTGAGCACAATAATGGGTTCCATTGCTTTTAATACAATCCTTTTTCTCCTTGTAGTGATTTCCTTCCAGACTAAGAGATAAGCAGAGTGCTGAAATAGTGATGCCGTCTCATAAAGCACACCTTACCCACTTCAACAATTAAGATAACCAGCTTGTGCCATAAAACCAATATAAAAGCTAAAGAAGCAGGAGTACTCTTTGATTTTGACTATCTGTAACAAACTTGTAGCTCACCTCATACACACAGTCTTATCCTGTGTTCTCACACCTGTAAAACTCAGGATCTAATACAGATCAACTAAAAAAGGAGGGTGGCATTTGTCTCTAGCAAGCACTCGAGATGCAGAAGGATAGCTGTGTGTTTTCAGGCCTTAAAGTTCCAACTCTTTCCTTCAGCTCAAGTTTACTGAATGCGCTGGTGGGTCTGTCCGTCAATCTATCACAACATCTATCGGTAATCGATTGCTGAAACCAAGCATAGCTCCAAAGAGTGGAAAAACAGGCCAAGGTAAGTATCACTGGAAAGTGGACATCAAGAAAACAGAATAAAAATAGCAGGGCGTTATTATTCAGGGTAAAACCAGCTGTATCTATCCTAAGGAAGGTCCATTGTATTTACTAAATAATGGGACACAATCTAGCAAACAGAAGTGTTCACCACAGTAAACACCAAAAAATAGATTTGTGCTGTATCACAGAAATAGACCCTCAGATGAAATGGGGGACTCCTAAAGGGCTTTGTGACTTCTTCAACTGCTGGACAGCAAATCCAGACAAACACAGAATTCTGTGGGGACAGCACAGAAAGATTAGTGCCAATTGCCACACGAGATATGGAGAACACAGTTGACAAAACCAGCTATATACTATGAAATTTCAAAAAACCCCGAATTTTAGACAACTAGCATGAATTACTGCAAAGGAAAGAAACTGAAGGACAAAATTCCTCAGCTCCAGAACCATGGAATAAAAGTCTGAAAGAACAGTACATTGATAGAGGACTTGTAAAGCTGACAGACTTATAAAAGTATGTTCTTTTTCACCATACCACCCTGTTTATTTCACAGCCATTTGCCACATTCCTTTTTTCATCCACTTATCTAATCCAATTTCTTCTTCCCTTTTTTTTTTTTTTTTTAATAAGCACATTTCACATACTGACTGCTATACAATAGGGTCAGGCAAATAATTTGTAATAAAGAATTTTCTGAATCATAGCAGACTCTTTTTCTGCCTATCTGCTGCACAACAGGGCATTTTGATTATGGCATTACTGCTCCAGGACTAGGAAAGCTTTGGCCTTTTGAAGAACTGTGTATATCAACATGCAAATAATCTATACAAAACCAACACATGACATAAAACATTATGTCTGAAATGTGTATTTAGAAAAGTAAAAAATTAATAATACAGAGGAAAAGTAAAATGCTCATTAATCATTTTGTTGCCCATGCACACACGCATTATTTTTCCTCTCCCTAACGTTTCTTTGGCCAGATGTTGTTAAGTGACAAGGCTGTAATAGGAAGAGATTGTGCTCAAATGAACAGACAAAACTAGCAGGAATAACTAGTAGATCAAGGCATCACTCTGGGAAGTGGCACATTATCACAATAAACTTCAATGGTCAAAAGACAATAACACCTAATTCTAGCATATGAATAACCCTAAAATCATACAAACTCCCTGAAGCTTTGTTGCGTGCTGCATGCAGAGAGCCAGTGCTTTGCTTTACCATCCCCGAGAAGTACCCGTTCAATCTTTGCATTGGTCTTCCCTGCTCTGATTTCAAACTTCCTGAAGAGCCTCCTTCTGCCAGTGGCACTGGGCACCCTCTGCTAATGCCAACTTTCTTGTGCAAAAAAGTGACTTTTGCCTAAGTAGGATACATGGATCATTCCAGGTGTTCTAATCGCAGGAAGAGCTACTAAAAGCAATGCCAACAACTATGTACAAAGAATGAAAGGGAGAGGGCTCATTAAAGAGAAATGCAAATGGCTGTGAATAGTTCAAGAGGAAAAAAAAAATAAAAAAATTAAAGGGATTAAAGGGAATCAGAAAGCTCTTGCAGGTTATCACTAGGAGAGGAGAAGAAAGAGGGAACCCTAAAAGTATTAGGCTGCTAAATGTTCCTTACATACTTTTATGATAATTTATTATAATATTTAAAATATATAAAAAAAAGAAAATCTAAAAGAAACTAAAATAACTTACACGAACTCCATGTAGATATAATAGCTACCATTGTCAAATGAGGTTAAAGATATTTTAATAGGGGAAAGAAAACCTTAGCAGAGACTAAATGGTTGGGAGAAATGAAGGAAAACTGAGAAGAGGGAAAAAAATACAAACAGGAGAAAACATTTGGACAGTTGATAAGTAGGAAATCATTCTTGTGAGCCCTTTAATACAAAGGTGGACAAAATAACTGAACTGACTGATCAAGCAATGCATCAAAATAACGTGTACTTTCCATCAGCAAAAGTCCATTTCAGAATATGTTCTAAATGTCCTTCCTGTAATAACTATATATACTGGAAGCATCCTTCTTTACCACTGATTTCGGCTTATCTTGGCAGCCCACGGCAAGAACTTAAATTTCAATTAAGTGATGGTTCAAAATCAAAGCAGATTATTAATTCAAGCAGCAAAGTCAGAATTTGTATGTCAAGGGAAACCAGGGCAACACCACGATGATCTTTCTCAGCACTCTTTTAAAGAAAATGAGGGGTAAATCAGGATTCCTTTTTTCTTTTCTTTTCTCTTTTCTTTTTTTCCTTTTTCTTTTTTCTTCCTCTCTTCTCTTCTCTTCTCTTCTCTTCTCTTCTCTTCTCTTCTCTTCTCTTCTCTTCTCTTCTCTTCTCTTCTCTTCTCTTCTCTTTTCTCTCTTCTCTCTTCTCTCTTCTCTTTCTTCTTTTCACCAGCCTCTGGGAAAATTGAACAGTACAATGGGCTGTTAAAAACTACACTGAGAGCAATGGGTGGTGGGACTTTGAAACATTGGGATATACATTTACAAAAAGCCACCTGGTTGGTCAACACCAGAGGATCTGCCAACAGGGCTGGCCCAGCCCAGGCAGAACTTGTACATACTGTAGAAGGGGATAAAGTTCCTGTGGTGTACATAAAGAATTTTCTGGGGAAGCCAGTCTGGGTTATTCCTGCTTCAGGTAAAGGCAAACCCACTCATGGGATTGCTTTTGCTCAGGGACCTGGACATACTTGGTGGGTAATGAGGGAAGATGGGGAAATCCAATGTGTACCTCAGGGAGATTTGATTTTAGGGGATAACAGCCAATGAACTCAATTATATGCTGTTGCCTGCTATGTAGCACTTTTATAGCCCACCAACTAGATACCTTCAGGTTACCAGTGACTGTCCCTTGACTTCCGCCGACCATCATCCCAACAAAGAATGTACTTTGATGAAACTAAACAAATTCTGTGGTATCATCAGCAACAATCCAGCACTGCACACAGCCTCTCCTGCTCTGAAAGACTGTTACAAGAGATGAAGCCTGACATCATGGACCAGATGAACTCGCCAGCTTTATAGGGATCAGAATGCACTAAAGAATGATATCTCTCTCTCTTTGTGTGCGTATGGATGTGTATATATATATATATATATATATGAGACAAGAGTGATGGTACACTGGAAAATGTGAGACCTGAGCATGACATGAATGGTATGGAATAAGGGGTGGATACTGTCCTGGGTTCAGCAGTAGCAGTCATTTTTCTCAGTCTTAGTAGCTGATGCAGTGCTGTGTTTTTGACTCTCAGCCTGAGAACAACACTGATAACACTGACATTTTTAGTTGTTGCTCAGTAATGTTTACTCTGACCAAGGACTTTCTCAGTCTCATGCTCTGCCAGGGAGGAGGGGAAGCCAGGAGGTAGCAGAGACAGGACACCTGACCCAAACTAGCCAAAGAGGTATTCCATACCACAGCACGTCATGCACAGTATATAAACTGGGGGTAGTTACCTGGCAGGGCTAGATCACTGCTCGGTCAGCTGGGTATCGGTTGGCAGGTGATGAGCTGTTGTATTCTCTTCCCTTGTTATTTCCCTTGTCATTATTATTATTGGTGGTAGCAGTAGTGATTTGTGTTATACCTTAGTTACTGGACTGTTCTTATATCAATTCGTGGGAGTTACATTCCTTCGATTTTCCTCCCCATCCCTCCGGGAGTAGGGGAGGAAAGGGGGACTGAGCGAGTGGCTGCATGGTTCTGGGTTGCCAGTTGGGCTTAACAACACTTCACTTTTTCTTTCCTTTCCTTTTTCTTTTCTTTCTTTTTTTCTTTTCTTTCTCTTTTCTTTTCTTTTCTTTTTTCTTTTCTTTTTTCTTTTTTCTCTTTTCTTCTTTTCTCTTCTTTTCTTTTCCCTTTTCTTTTCTTTTCTCTTTTCTCGTTTTTCTTTTTCCTTTTCTTTTCAAGAAAAATATAAATAACTAAAGCAATTCTTTTCTAGGAAAAAGTTAGAGACTGCAGGTGAGTCTATACATGCTTCTGTTAAACTCATGGTTAGCAGGTAGATCAAGCATTATCCAATCTCCTCTAATTTAGCAAAATTTACTCATACATTACAGAGGATTTTTAATTCTTTTCAATTCTAGAGCAATTGAAAACTACATACTTGCCATATGAAAGGTAACTACATCAAATAACCTTGGCTATATATAGGGCATATACAGAAGGCCCCTAAATCTTTCAGGCTGCTTCCATGCCTTCTACAGAGAGCAGAGAAAATGGTTCCACTCAAACAAAACACAGACAATATGTATGCACTAGATCTATCCACCTTACAAGGACAAAATGTTGTGGTGTGTTTCATGAAATAGCTGCATTTCAGGTCTGAGCCCAAGTTATTTATTTTGTTGATTTTATTCATGCAGAATTAACTTGGTTTTATTCTGTATCTGTGCTCATTTGAAAGATAATATCAGGTTGAACAAATAAACTAAAAACTGAACACGTCAGCAGTAGGGAGGGTGGTGTGAAAACAGGTACTTATTGTGTGATACTTATTGTGTGATTTATTGTGTGCCAGGTAGAGAGAGCCTTGGGTGACATGGTCTAGGGTGAGGTGCCCCGGTTAGAACTAGATGATCTTAAGGTCCTTTCAAAACCAAATCATTCTACAATTCTATGATTTGTGAAGAATCAGTGTCACGTAAATAGCTTCGTAGAATAGTCACAGTGTCAGGTGGCTGTGAATGCAAGCATGTTAGCACTCTAACACACGTCTTATTCTGTAGAATCATTTGAGGAGCCATGCAAACCCAGCATCTTTGTGAATTGCCTTTCTAGAACAGGCAATAGTTCTGTGAACACACAAACCCAGAGTAGGCCAACTCAATACACCATCACTTTCATACGCTCAGTTTGGGTGCAATTATCTTTTCAGAACAGCTAGGCAGGCACACATGCTCTCATCAGGTAGCAGGGAGCAAGAAAAAGTTCTAACTAGAGCACATCCATCATAGACACATTTAAGAACTTTTCTGCATATATTATCTTAATTTTTAAAAGAAACTGGGAAACAAGGAGATAGCAGCAATTCAGTGTTAGTCACAGAGTGAAGAAGTAGAAACAATCAGGGTGCTTCAGCCATTGTAAAGTGTTCAGCTGGAGAGGAAAACTGACAAGGTCTAAAATTAAGAAACAGTGCCTTGATCCAGATCCTGCTGAAGTCAACAGCAAGTCATTCAACAATCTCAGTGTGCTTTCCATTAGGCTGCAACTATGCCATACATCAACAAGGCAAAATACACATTCCAGGAGGACAAAAAACATGATCCTACACAGGAAACCACTAGAATATTAACTTCTGGTAACATTGTCTTCACTGCACTAGTCAACTAAAGGGAGATTGTGTGACATGACCTAAAAATATGGGTTTGTAGTTTAAGTTTTTATTTAATAATTTTACATTTAAGATGAACATTTAAGAAGATTTTCACCTTTATACAGTTCTGTTAAAGGAGATGAAAAGGCACTGTGCCAATAAACAGTTTGCCAAGTGAAGGTCATCTCCTTCCACTGGGTAGGTACTGCTTCAGGTGACACAATGTGCCAGTGATTCAACCACTGATTAACTGAGGTCACACAAAAAATGCATCTGGAATGAAAAAATAAATATACTGGGTCTCTGCTGTTATTTTGCTAGTTTTAATAGGGTGGCACAATTTGGAAAATATGGCTTAGGGACTGCATCTGTATTATTTTTTATATAGATAAGGGGTATAAAAGCCTCCCTAAGCAATGTAACAGCTAAAGCAGCCTCTCTGCAATGGTTTGGGTTAGATTAGTGGGCGGAGAGGCGCAGTCCTTCCTTTCAATAATATTAACCATGCCACCAACAGAGAAAATGTCTTGTTAATAAAATCAATGGCTCAGACTACCTAGAAATCTATAAGGAGCTTTGTTAAGAGTCTTCATAGTAGACTTATGCATCCAGTATTTTTTTCTTACAGAGAACACAGCAGATGACTTGCTGTCTAAGCAGATAAATATGGCCATGTGTAACTGCTGGTACAGATACTATGGCCATGTGTAGCAGTAATTACTGCTAGTCTCTTTTTCTCTTGGCTAACATGCATTATCAAAACACTAAAGCATCCTGAAGTGAGGTGAAGGAGGAAAATGAACAGGGTGGGTGAGAAGTGCCATGTATTATAGAAATTATGCATAAGTTCACCTGCTGTTGTCATGATCAAGACATGGAGAAGACCGTCTGTAATAGAACAGATGATTTAACATCAAAAAGGAAAAGAAAGGGGAAAAAAAATGAGTTAAATGAAATATTGAAATATCAAAAAAATGAAACAGATTTCTAAACTAAACACATGAACATATACATATATATGCATATTCATTACACATGAAAAGGTAGGAGTCAGTAGTATGGAAAATAAGCCTACGCAGACATCCTTGGTTACCAAGGGTTGCTACTAGTAGATCAATAAAGCTAGAGTGATCTGGTTTCTCTACACACATTCTCAAACTGGAAGCCAGATACTTAAAATGTACACTTAGAGCCTGAGTCCACCTTCTAGAACTAGATGAGGTGAAATGCAGCATGGTTTACGTATCCACATCTAAAATTTGATATATCAAGGGGCAAGGTATCAAAGGTAATTCCAGCCACTGTTTCTGATAACACAATAAACCATGATTTTCTTTTCTTCAAATGTCCTATTAATATATTCTGTCACCCACTTTCTTCCATTTCAACATGTTTCTTGTCCTCCTTTTGTTCTGCACTGCAGAATGACAAATTTCAAACTTTCACTTTGACCTGTTTAGGCTCTTCGCAATGTGTCACACTGTCAATTAGTTGTCTGATGACTTTTTTTATTATATAAATCTCCGTTGCCACTTTCTTCCACTGACACGAACAGCCACTTGCTATTCATGAAACAGACCCACTCTTCTGCCTGATTATAACTTTCTGAACAAAGGTCATAAAGGCTATGGTATAATTTGAAATCATGCAGACTTCTAGATTTAAGAAACTACTATCAGCTGGTTGCTGCCAGGTCCTGTTTCCATAACTATTACCCAGAAAATTAATCTCATACTGGAGAAAACAACATTATGGATTCAAAATACAACACTTTAAATATATTTTGTTTACCTTGTTAACAAGGATCCAGCCTCCTTTTTTGCAGATACGCAGCTAAGAATGATAATTCACATTATTTGTCACAGTTCAAGCTGCCCACTCCCTCATCTTTCTCCCTTTTTCACTGATGGAAGCAACAACTTCCACAAAGGTAAATTCACTAATAATACCCCAGCTACTTAATTTTGTCAGATACAAGTACTGATACACTTGAATCATCACTTAGTAAAATAGGGATTTGTTTAAAAAATTATATAAAAGAAATCAATATTTGTCATTAAACCAGTTTTACCATAAGCAAGTCAGAGTTGGAAAAGCTGCACAGTTACTACAAATCTTGCTCTAGAACAAAAAACCAATCATGAACTAAGAGGTCCTTCCTCACAATATGACAATATGTCAGATTTACCTTTACATATTTGTCAGTAAAATTCTCAGAAATATAAGCTATACAAATAAATTGTGGGAATTTTTTTCACTGCATCACCAGAAGCCAGATATGAAAACAACATCATTTTCCACATAAATTATACTTTAAATCCTACAGTCAGCCTTACCTTGACCATTCACACTTCACTATTGTGGGGTAAGAACATGATACTGTCAAGCAACGTCTAAATGCTGCAAGTGAAGTCTTTCAGTGAAGTCTTTTTTTTGCCTTCTAACTTAATGAAAATATGTTTTCTTTTACAACAGGATATTGTGAGGTATGAGATTAAAACTGAAAAATGCATTTGCATTTATGTAGCCATTAGTTCTGCCTGTCATAACACTTCATCAGGAAATCATGTGTAATATCCCCTAATACTACTAAGTAAAACAATAAAACTCTTATTGGATATTTAGGACCCAAACTTTCTGGCATATTCAGAGATTCTTAACATTGCTCAACATGTTAGATCAGACAGTTTTATCAGAAGTGAATCTGATTTGCTGACAAGTAGTTTAAATGCAGGAATTAATACTTTTCCCTTCAGCCCATGTATGAAATTATTTGGAACCTGCTGGGCAAGTAAAATGACCAGGAGATGGTGAGCATCAAAAAAGTGTTACCTTTTAAGAGATATTTACTTCCTTGTTTCTAAAATAGCTGGCAAGGGCCCTAACCAAAGATCTTGCTTTACTTTCTTTATTGATAAAAGTATCAACACACTGAAACAACAGTTATATTTAAAGTGGATGGTTAAAACATTTTCCCCTTCTGAAATTTCAAGCATAAGAGAAGTTTTGGTTAGTTACGCAAAGGGTGAAATATATGTCTGTGAAATTCCACACCAAAAGAACAATTCTCTCTAGATTTATCTTTTTCCTTGGGAGTGTTACACTGTGATCCACCCCTGCAATAGGAGATCAGTAGGAGTTCAGCCACAATTTGGGGTTAGCCCCTGAAGTACTGCAGGGAAAGAATACTGTCTTTTTTTCCTTTTTTTTTTTTTTTTTCAGATTGCACAGAGTATAAAATGAAGATAATCTGCGTCAAAGTACCGCTCAATGCTTTGCTGATGTGTTACTTTATAAAAACATGGTCTGAATTCAATATATTTCCAGTGGCCCAGGCAAAATTGAGGCCATATCCTTGCCTTAAGCCACTAACAATGTTTATATAGTATTTCTTTTCCAACACTAAGAGTTTTTTTTCATGACAGATATATACTACTTTAGTGTGTGCACCTGAAATGCCAGCAGTGTAGCTAGCTCACAAGAACCTGGTAATAGAGCATGTCTACATAGGAAGGAGGGTGTAGGTCACGAGGGGCATAAATAACAAACATACTTGCTTTTCCAGCTAAGTAAATGCAAAAATCACTCACACAGTACTTCTATGATTATTTCACTTTTAAAATAAGGACTTACAAGCAGAACTCTAGTGGTCAATGTATTTTCCTAAAAAAGAGGTGTAAACAAGAGGCACGCAACAGTTTATGATAACTTAATGACCTGGACAAGTCTAAGCAAGATAAAAATGAAGTGTTGTACAGACTTTACCATAGGCTTAGTAATCACTACTAAAGGCTTATTTACTACAATATTTAGTGGCAAGTTGGTTGGTAATGTAAGAAGAACGTAATCATTTGTGTCATATTATATGTCACTATTTTATACAAGGCTGCAGACATTATTGCTCCTATTAAAATCCAATATTCTTATTCTACCACTAGCACCCTTGTCATACAGAAAGGTCTAAATATCACTAATATTTTTTAAAAGAAAAACACAAAATAACTGCACATCCAAGAAATAAATGCCACTCTCCTAGAAAGTATCTAGTTTATCCTTTGCAATCACTGGTGAGACCTACCTTTCTGATAGTGAAAAATAACACATCCTTTTGAAACAGTCTGTGAACTATTTAGGGTTTGAATAAACCACCAAAAAAATTGTAAAGCTTACATTCTGACATAAATATAGACACATAAACCATACATAATGTACATATTAAGTATTTCTGTTAGATTTGTTAGTTTGGACCTGAAGAAAAGCAAATCCAAACAGCACTGGTCACAGCCAAATACCCTGCTACCAACTACCAAACAAACTTCTCATATGTGTCACAAATCAGTCAATTTGAAATTCAAATAAGACAATATTGTTTCTCTTCTAGACCAGGACTGACTGTCATTCCAAATGGGACTCCAATATTATTTTTTGAATGATACGGACTCTTGCAATACTGTTGCAAATTCATTTGCGATTTACAATAAAATCTTTCTCCTTGTGATGTCCAGCCATGCTGCATACAATGCAGCTGCACAGAAATTAAATGCTTTTTTATGAAATCAGTTTCTTATGAATTCACCTGCACATGCCTTATAAAATCTGACAGCAGGACAGAAGTGTAGAATTTAGTGTAAAGATAAAACTACCTAAAATTCAGTAAGTAAGAGCACTTAAAACAAATGCACCCAGATTTTGAGTCAACCAGGATAAACTTTGTAAGTATGAATTTGTCTAGGCCTGCATTTTGACTTCTCTCACTCTCTTTCAGTGAGCTTACCTAAATAAAAAAGCTTACAAAGAGTCAGTTGTGAGAATATACAAATATAGCAGCCAAATAACTGTAAAGCACATGATGTTTAAGTTGCTTGTCGATTCCACAGTTCATGTAGTTAAATCATGACAAATACTAGAGCTGATGCTTCCCTGAACTATTTCACTAGCATAGGAAGTACTAATCATCTAGAGCAATTAGGCCCTTGGTCTCAATTACTGAATTTTAAAAGGCACTGTATTTATGTCTCCATAAAATCCACACAAATGTATGAACCCATGTGTCAATAATTCATTCCTCTTGAGCATGACCAAAAGCTCACTGACTTGCAGTTATTTCAGTGGATAGTCTTGCCACTCAGGTTTGCTTGATCATCAGAGCCTAAGAGATCATAACAAATTACTGCCAGCTCTCAGAGGCAATTAATTAAAATATGACTCCTTGTTAAGCATCAGTTGAAGCTGCTGCTACTGCAGGTATTCTGTTTCTCTTTTTTTATAGTATAAGGCTAATTGATACACTCACCCTGAATGAATAGGGCTGGAAGAAAGAGCCACATTGTCCAAGTTTTCAGGGCCCCAGCTTAAGCGATATGAATTCCTTTCAGCTTCTTTGACCAGAGTTGTTACCTTGGTAAGCAAAAAACACCTCCTTTTTGATCAATTCATCAAGCAAACAATAAGAAGATATATTTTGCATAGTAACACCTAAAGCGTTTAAACATATTTTAAGAGAACAGAGTAATAACAGCATTAAGATATTAGAAACCACTTACTGGAACGTTTTGTACTTGCTCAAAGTAATCATATGTCAGTGTTTTCAGTGACATGAATGATTTACCAAAGGGGCATTTCCCAAAATCTGTTTGCTTGTTTAACTACAAGCATGCTTCTCTGAGGACAATGGCCTTGAGTTCATTAAATGACCTGAATATTTAGCCCAATGGCTGCTAGCATCATTCAAAAATTCGTTAACCTGGAGAGCATTATGAAGACAGTCCCTGTACTATATTCACACAGCTTAGCCATTTATGTTGGAATAGAGTTTAAGACAGCACAGCATAATACACTATTAAATATCAACGGAAATTAGATTTATATTAAAATAAAGCAGCATACACAACGTGGTATTATTAGTACAATTAAAACTGTAATCTTTTTATATTTCTGTGTTTATAAGTGAACTTAAAGAGAATTTGCTTACCTGCTGGCTGGGGATTACAACTGTGTCATCAATCATGGCACTGTCCCTCAGGTAGGAGGCATGGCTCAGTGTGTGGGACCTGTCTGAACTGAAGGATCGTAGGCTGGTAGGTTGGTAGGATGCCACAGCAATGCATCAACAGCACAGATGATGTTGTAAAGATTTCATGATAGATCGAGTGGGAGAATGAAGAAAGCATGCTATTAGCAATATGATGCAGCTTCCAGAGGGAGTAACAGTCACAGGGGAAAAAACAGGGCTTTACAAATCTGTGGCATGCTACCTTGCTGACCAAGGGCCACAAAGTCTTTTGACTGATTGATCTGCTTCAAAATGCAGAACCTAAAGATTAATCTAGATGACAGTTTATTTTATATTCACAAATACTTTATACTTGGCTTTGTGGCATGACAGTTTCCTTATAATAAAGAGCATTAATTTCTTTTAAGTAAGGCTCTCCAAAGAAGTTCTTTTTCCAGCAAGTCACAAAAGCACACCACTATGGAAAACCAGAATGCTAATAACTGAAGAAAAGCTGAAAGGACCCTTTTTGAAGCTTTGTTATGATCTACCCTCTCCCTTTAAGACCGTAAATAAGTAAGCTTGATGTTGTCCCCTGGAAGGTACACACAGCAAGGTGAACTGTGGCCAGCTGCAAGCTCCTGTGTGAAAACAAAGCTCATCCTCAGTATGCCAGCAGCATCTTTAGAGAGGCAGTCCAAATGTGAGCGAGTGTTGTCTTTGTAAGTACACACAGTCCTACAGAAAACTGGTTGCTGCAGCAATGGGAGATGCAAGGCTGTAAATAAGCTGCTTCCAAGCACTGGCTCAGAACGTAACTGCAGTATACGCTAGCAAAAAGGCAAAAAAAAAAGACAAATAAGACACCACAGAAGGACATATTGAGGTAAATGGGGTTTCTGCTACCAAATAGCGCTAGTTTTGTCCTTTAAATATTTACCAGCAGCAGTATTACAACAGTGATTTTTAAAAACAGATCAATCACCTTCCAAGGTTGTATGTGTTCTCTGTGATGTTGTTGTGTATCTTGAGGAATATAGGACCTATCACTGAAATAAGTGGTTTATTTTTCATGGATTACACATCCATGAGTAGTATTTATCATGACTAATGCACTGGATCAGAACAATAGGCCATTTATCTCAACACATCAAATTTTAAGGGGTAATTCCTTAGCAGCAGTTAGCAGTAAGAAAGTCATATACACGATGGACACAAGATTCAAGTATTTTAGGTGCAGGTCTTGTTGGAAATTATATTTTACCATCTGATTCAAACCAGCAAGGCTTTTTTAACAACAGCTACACTCACTCCATCAGTTTTTGATGCATTTTTAGAAGGAAATGGTTCTCTTATGTTTATTAACAATACATGACATTGAAGAATAACCAATGCTATTCATCACTGACTTATACCAATGGCCTATTTAGCATACTAGATGGAGTGTGCAAAACTGAAAGCAACAATAGGTATTACACAAGTACGAGCCTTAGGAAAGTCTTGAGAAAAAGAAACCAACAATAAATCATCTCTTACATGTCATGAAACACAATCGTGACCGATGAGTACATTGATTAAATATTTTAGTGTGAATTGGGTAGGCAGAGTACACCTTGCTTGTTCACAACACGAGTACTTCAGTGAACATTTATTCTTTGGTTGAAAAATAAGCCTCAGTAGCAGGACCCCATTTGCCATCATTATCCTTGATTCACTGCAATGTTTGACACTTCCAGAACTGCTTTTTTTGCGCCATGCAATGCTTGTAAGTGGTTCGCCATCCAAGTTGTAGGTTCTGCTATTCAGCTAATGTTATGTCCTGGACAGATATTGAATGAAAGGAAGCATGTACTAGATCTGATTAGTTATCTATCTGTAAGGTGATTTTGTCTGTATACTCCTGCAAGTACCCAGCACTGCTACTACCACCAAGTAGGCCACTATGTTGTACCTGTATGCAACCTCCAGTAAATATCCAATATATTGAGAGTATGGACTTTATCTACAGCCAAGGTATGCATAGGCATGACTGTGGTCTGAAGTACATTAGAAATTTTAATTTTGCTCTACACTTTATTTCAAAACTAGCCTTCATGTGGCATGTCCCCTCTTCTGTGTGCTGCACCAGCTAAAACAGTAGTTAAAAGGTTTGTGCTTCTGAGGCTTAAAAATAAAGGTACTGACTCAAGCAAGAGTCCAGATACAGAAGCGCAGTGGCACGGAACAGAATTTACTGTTTACTATTGTAGTAAGTCTTCAGGGACCCTGAAGAAAAAAACAAAAACAAAAACAAACAACAACAAAAAAAAAAACAAAACCCCAAACCTAAATCACAGATATAACTAATGTCTGAATACAGGCTTTTTTTTTTTCCAAATCTGTTTGATAAATCTTAATTCACATGGTTTGTTGGGTCAATAGTACCTAGCCCTAGACTGAATTTTGGAATCCAGGAATGCCACAAAGTTCCTGAATGTAAGAGTATGTCTTACCCATATTAGGCTAGGCACAGGCACGTGTCAACCACCTCTTCTAAGCCCTGAAAAAAGCCTACGTGGTATCCAGAAAATAAGAGCATCATGCTCTAGCCAAGTTTCCAATCTGGGTGACTGAGAGACCATGTTACACTACACATCCATTTGCCAGCCTAGACAGAGCTCTAGCAATTGCTAGTCCACTTGAATGTATCTCCTGTTGTGGGAAGTGCATGTCGTTTCAGAAGCTGGGAAAAGAGCCTGGTATAATTGAAAACTGATTAAATCAGCCTTGAAAATATTTCCCAGTAAGACTGAAAACCTTCCTCACACCTATCATAGATCAGAAAGGTGGAAGGGTCGTAAAATGAATCAGAGCCTTTTCAAATACTGGTGGATCTGATATGGCCTGATTCAGCTCTGGCTCTCAATATCCAGAGGGAGAATCCAACTAGTGTGCTCCATTCTCTTTATTTTTTATTCTATCACTTTTTCTCCATGTAGAGAAGGAAAATGGCTAAGCCTTCCAGCAGCATGGTGATAGCCAGCTCCTCCTGGCTGTTGTGACCTACTGCAACCTTCCTGATCCTTGCTAACAGTACCTTTAAAGAAATCAGGGAAGTTTCTGCAGGACAGTTGCTGTGTCACACTGTGATCTTTCTAGAAAGAGAGCACTGCTGGATCCATATTTCCCACTACATATCAGACTCCTTTGAAACTATATCTCCAGCTGCAGTGTTGTTCACTTGGTTCTCCAGATCAACTTTCTGGCATACAGCAGGCCTCCAAAATGGATGAACAGAGACAGGTGCCATAGAAGGATATAGAGACAACATGTTTTCATGCTGTGTAATACCTACCTGGGCATGGTGCTAATGAAAGCATATGAAAAAGAATGAAGGGGACAGAAAAATAAAATAAATAGGGAAGATGGTTACAAAAGAAAAATACATGGTTTTAAATCAAATTGTTTAATGTGTAAGATTACATGAGTCTAGACTGCTAATACTATTTTGCTCTACTGAATTTCTTGAAAAATCAAAGCCAGTATAACACAACAAAAATCACATTAACAGAAAAGCAAAAAAAAAAGCTGTCCCTGTGAAATCTCTTACAACCAGTAACCTGACAGTGACAGAAAATGAGACCATGGAGTCAGAAAGATGCACTTTTTCTTCCTTTAGAATTTTGCTTCATCTCAAAATAATCATGCTTAATACAGGATGTGAAATGATTTTCATACATCACAAAATAAAACACATCAATTGCATGCCAGTGAAAACCTACTAATATTCATTGACTGTACTTAAAACCTAAAATATTCTAAATGGGATCAGAAACTGGATTGACGCTTGCCCAATCACTTCTAGATAACTTAAAATAAAATTTTAAAGAATTTCATTACCACTGACAGGGCATGATAAAAGGTTTTGATTTGTAAGCATTCTGCTGTAGTTCATAAACATACTCCGACATTTAAAAAGCCACATGGTCACTTTGTTTTCAGTGGATTCACTGGAGCTGTCTAAAAACCAACAAAGACTCCAAGTTCGTCAAACCTGAATGCTGAGGGCCTTACATGCTGGGAGGCAAAGCAAACTGTTTCCTGACATATTTTCTTCCCAGAGCAATTCATAGCCTACTGAAGTAAACAGAATAGATCTGACTGATTTCACTGAGCTTTGTAAATACATCCAGAATAAGAATTAAGGTTGGAAAATGAGGTAGGTTAAAAACTCCCTCTGTTGCTAAGACCTCAACATTTTTTTATTTTTTTTTTCCCCTTTAGCGAACCCCAATTCTGAAGGCAGTAAGCCTGGAGACATTACTGACTTGCACTAGACACTGTCATTTTCAAACAGGAATGTCTGGGTAGCCTATTGTAAACCAGAACTATGGGTGTTAATCTGCTCATTTGAGTCCACATTTATGCTCACTAGTAAAGACCCTCCTCCTGAAAAGGGAGCTCCGTTTTTTGGGGGGAGGTTTATGCCATAGTGTCACTCTTTAAAATAATTAAAATAAAAAATTAAAGTCACAGGCATTATTATTCCACAAATACATTTAGACTTAAGTTCAACTTGTCAAATATAAGCATATCAGTAAGTTTTCTGAACTGAACACACAACTTTTTTTTTTTTTTTTTACAACATCAATACTGTGCTGTGCCAGTAGAAGGAAAATTATTCTCTTTCCTGCTACTTCAACTATGATGAAAGAGAAAGAGTTAATATGCTTGCTGACAACATTGCTGACAACATACTCACTGCCAACCCAATGTGGAATGACCAAGTGCATTGCTCCTTTCCTTATATCTATAGCTAGCGAGCTACTCTAAAAAAACAGCTTACCTAATGCTAAAACACCCTCTCCACCTATCCCACCCATCCTGACTCATGACCAGAAAAGATGAGGATGAATCATAAACCCTCTCCATAGACAGCTAGACTCTTCTTCCTTTGCCTGAGCACCAAGACAATAAAGCAGGCTATGACTTTTCAAGAGCCAAACAAGAATCACGAAGTCTTCACTAGACTCTGAGTACAGTATTAGTGCCAACTGTATGCATTTCTGGACTGGTCTAGAAATACTCCTCCTGACCAGACTTGCTTCCTACAATGTGGCAAGTGCTACACTGACATACCCCATAAAGAAATGCTGATGAGTGCATCCCATATCTTTTAGATAAAGAACAGTCCCCAAGAACAGGATTTCAAACATTTAGAACAAAATGTGTGCAGAATTATCATAAGAAAGGATGCATTCAGGCAAATACCTGTCAGATCGTCCTCCTTCCAAGCTGTACCTTAGGTAGTTCATACCATCTAAGAACTGGCTGCTTGGTAAAGAGTCATCTCCTAGTTCTCTGAGGTCTTCTGGTCTAAGGTACTCTCCTCCATCTCCTGTCATGGTGTCATCACCTTTAAACCAATCACAAAGGGACAGAGATAAGCACACACAAGTTCATTTCATTTCCATGTTGGAATCAAACAGCTGGATGGCACAATAAACAGGAAAGCATTTTCCACTCAGGAAACCCTGCAAATCACAAGCAATTAATGTATTTAATGAAATTGGCACATCAAGCGAGATTAAAACAAAAATATACGTTGAAACCGAAATGATTAGTGAACTAGATTTAATCTCATTTTTGCTGTCGCACTTACTGATTGGTAAGGGGCAAATTTCTTTGCTAGTCTCTAAAGCATGGTCTCCCTGTTCCCTTACCCATTTTAGCTCTCTGGGCGTAACTATACTGTATCACAGCCTACCAGTTCATGATTAAATACAACCACTTACTTGCCTAAGCCACATATATTCAGCTGAAAAGGTGTTTTCTGTGGCCTTATGCCTGACAGTTGCAAATCCTAACTCCATTGTCCAAACTCTCCATCATATGAGGCTGTCTCACCCATGTTCCAATATCCTTTTGCGATCAGCAAAAATATTCTTATTTCAAAAACATGTTCACATCCAGAAACTGAAAATAAGCTCACATGCATAGATACTAATGATCATTAATCAGAAAAGTACCTGAAAATGAATAAAAGCCTAAATGATCACTGGTTATCTGACACAGTTAACTTTTTGCATATACTCTTAATAACAGGGTTTAATTATTCTTTTTTTAGGCCCAAAATTGTTTTCCCCAGGAAATTCTGTCTATGTGAAGTCACAGTTTGCTTTTCCCCAGCAGACTAACAAAAGAGCTCACATTTCTTTTCTTTCCCATTTGCAGCACTGTTTCCACAGTTTTTCTGCTTGGAGATTTCAGGTTTTCCCAATGGTTAACGACTGAGGTATGAAACTGCCACAGCCTTGGTTTGACCCACAGAACCACACAGCATGACTCGAGGCCACCAGGATCTCCAAAATTTCTCATTTTCTAAGCTGCATAGGCAAACGTCAAGAGCTTGAAGCTTAGTTAGATGAAGGAGACTACAACTGTTACACAGGAAGTCTTCAGAGGCTACTCATTCCAGCTGCAGTAATGCACCCCAGCATGCTAAGACACACAAAGAATTGCAAAGGGTAGATAAGTAGTATCCGTGCTGTTTCAAACAGAATTCATATGGGCATCAGGACAGTTGCCACTTGTGTTATTTAAAGTCTTAATAAAACAATTATTGTTACTGCTTCTATTTCTGGTAGAGCACCTTTCCTCCTTCTCTCCACCAGCTGTCCAAAATGTTATCGGTATTACAAGCTATAGGAGAGATGCTCACTAGAAAAGGAAAAAATCATCTTGATATCTGTTTTAATGCAAAAATCTAAAAAGCTTTTCTAGCTTGATGATTCTCTAATTTATAATTTCTCATCTAAAACCAAGTAACCTTTGGTGGCTCTTAAGATTTTTTTATAGACAAACACTACATGGAAAAATGAGGCTAAATCTTTTCAGTGTAACATCAAAAGCTCTTGAAAATTCCATCTGCCCATATTAAGAGGGAGAAACTGGCACAGTTTCACAGAAAACAATAAAAGCATTTAGTCATTGCTTCCTGTCTTCTGACAGATGATGCCTCCTGTTTCCTGGAAATATCACATTATAAATCACAGGGCTTAGTAAAAACTTGGAAGATATTAAGACCGTGCTGTTAATCAAACAGTAAAAGGAACTTCAAGTTATGTTTCAAATAAACTAGATACTTATAATCATGGCAGACATTCCATCTATACTAGAAACAAAGGCAAAATCTTCACCACTTCCTTCACACCCACAACCTTTAAAAACAAACCCAAACTCCACTCATTTCAGCTTTGGCCTCTCATCTCAGAGCTGTCAATAACGGGTCTATGTAAGACGAGTTGGTGTATGTGATGTCAAGCACAGACAGTAATCTATACACGAGTATTTCACATCTTCAGACCTTTTATCTGCTGATATTACAGCTTACTTGCTAGCATACTAGTACTGAGCAAGTGAACTAGAGGCTAAATTCACTCTGCACCAACCCCTTGTGCCCTTCCATCTTTCCTGAATGAGATGAACTCCCAGAACAAGTAGCACCTCCTCCTATATGAAAGGAAAAAAAATACGTATTTAAGCCTAAATGATTGTGCACCAACATAACATTTCATGCAATTGCAGTTATCCATGTATCTTACTTCCTGATTTGCAGGGCAATTGCACCTATGCAGAGGGAATTACTTGTGCAACAAGCACACATTCATCCTGCCAGTAATACTGCGTTGTCATTAAAAAACTTTAACACAGCTAATTCCTGAGTCTCAGTCAATTAAAAAATACACAGACATGTTATCTACTGAAAAGAAGCTACATACTCATAAATGTTACATATTCAGCTGACCAGGAGCTTCTTTACACAGCAAAGCTTACCAGATGGTGGTTTTATGGCAGTACAAGAAATCACCTTTTTTAATCAGGCTAGAAACCATTCATCTGCCATCACATTCCCCATCAAATTAATGACAGCAATAATGACTAAGCAGTCTACGACAAATACGGTCCTTGAAGTTGATGCTCCATGATTTGCAGTGGCCATCTATGAAATTACAGGCAAATTTTGATGAGTCAAATCACTTAGTGATTTATCTTCTATTTAATTGAATTAATTTGCAATAGTAATCCTGCTCAGTACAAGAGAAACCACCGTTTCAAACCCCGGGTGCATGCGCTTGGCTGAGGAGCCACTGGCACAAGGCTACCATCTGCGGGTTTATGACTGAACACCTCTAAGTCAGAATCCCACCTAGACGTTTGATGTTGTGTTGTTGTGTCATCAGTCGCTCGAGACTGACCCAGGAGATGACAGTCTCGTTCAGAATGTGTGGGTTAAAGCCCTTCCTGAATCTTTGTTAGCGAAGACAGGCCTTCTTCATAGGAGAAGAAAACCCGGGCAAATGGAGCTCGTCTAGCCTTGTAAGGGCTTCCATCTAAGAGAAGGACACTTACAAAACCTATGAACTGAGGACTTGGCTGTCACTGTCCTAGCTAACTAGGCCATGGCAGTTAAACCTCAGATGTAAAGGGTGGGGCCAGCTCTGCACACGCTGCACCTCACCTAAAAAAATCCACTGCACAGGCTGGAAGGGCTTACTCTCACTTGTCTGTATGGACAGGCAAGGGTCAAAACGGTAGTGACAAGGTGCATGGGAAGCTGCAGATCCAACCCTGCATGCGGGTGGACCAGCGCATGGGTCGTTTGACGTTGCTCAGGAGATAACAGTCCCGGTCGGACAATCCCTGATTGCCTAAGCACCCTTTTTTCCAACCAGATTTGCATATCCCACATGCCCTTGGTCATCGCGCTTCTAGTAAGAGTGGTTAAAGCCCTTCCCAAATCTTTGCTCGGGAAGCCAAGCCATCAACTGAATTAACATCTTCCTTCAGTGATGCCTTTCAGACATTCAGAGGTTCACTAACAGGGGAAAATATACTAGAAAACACTGGGTGACCGTGTGCTGTGCCCCAGTTATAGCATTCCTGCTCATCCTTCATCTTAGCACTGCTACTGCCCAACTCTTCAAATAGCTCTCACAGTTGTGTTAAAATCTGCATTTCTGAATAGCATCGGAGGGAGGGAGGGAGGGAGGGAGGGAGGGAGGGAAGGAAGGAAGGAAAGAAGGAAGGAAGGAAGGAAGGAAGGAAGGAAGGAAGGAAGGAAGGAAGGAAGGAAGGAAGGAAGGAAGGAAGGAAGGAAGGAAGGAAGAAAGGAAGGAAGGAAGGCAGGCTGAAATAGAAAGTGACAGAAACTGAACTGATGCTTTTAAAGCCAGATATAGTTATGCGAATTTGTCAAAATGATTCTTTTCTCTGCCGCATGCAGATGAGTCTACAACTGCCCACATAAGTGCTGCTCATTACCAGTAACAGATGGAGAAGTGACAGCCATGGCAAGCACAATTTTTTATGGAATATGTAAGTCCTGAAGCATCTTTACAGAATGTGTAACACAAAATTTCTCTGACACTTTCCTTGGACATTTTTGCTTTCCTAAAATCAATCTTCTGTTTAATGGTCCCTACACACTAGAAGTTCCGTGTGTTACACTTTGGCCAGTACTTTAAATTTCTTTATTGTTAGCCAGTCAGGAAAACAGGGTGTCATGTGTGGTTTCATATACTGATACATGACCTCACATGAACCATCATGTTAGCTGCTGGTAGCTCAATGCAGCACTTGCAGAAAGACAGTGAAGCAAATGAAAAAAACAAAACAAAACAAAACAAAACACCCACAAAACCCTGTATGTCATGTCTACCCTCCACTATCTGTGTGGAGGGGGAGGCCTTGATTTTGTTTTCTCACAAGGTAACCAGCTGCAAAATGAATTTCAGTATTTCACAGGTAGCTATTATGTTATTTATAAAGTTGGTACGTTGGATCTAGGTAGCAAAGAATAAAAGTGCTGCCTTTTAGAACTGGACCAGACAAACTATCCCTACCCTCATAAGCCACAGAAGGTTTGGAAGGTCACTGATACTAACTGGCATGCTGAAAGTCTGAAGTGTGGTGGAACTACTACACAATGAACAGTCAAACTGGGACTTGAATGAGTTCTCTGCATAGACTCAAGAGGAGTACTAAAGCAGACCCCACACAGAATTCTGGGCAGGAAATGCCATTAAAAAAGACAATATTCACACACACAGTCATCTTTCAGAGCCATGTTGTTCCAGGGAACAACAGCCCAAGATATCTGCTGCCCACAGAATGGGCAATAATCCTCTGACTGGGAAAGCTCCCTTTGCCTACAAAATGTCTGTTAAGTACTGTCAGCAGATATAAAATCTTTAACTAATGAAGATTAATGCAAATGTAAAAGCAACCAGTTCTTATCAATCATGAATAGGAATAATATCCAGCAGCGTTAAGAACAGATTTAGATCAGACGGGTAAGACTAGTCAAAAATATATTTCCCACTTTTAAAATACTGATTATGATTTACTTCAATG